GAACCATACGCTATTTTTGTTTAGTATTGTTAAGAATATTAGGAAAACACAAGGCTATTCGGGAAAAGTTGTTTATTTTATTTTTCATAACTTTCTACTACAGTACTCATTACAATATGTCATTACAATATTGCTTTTTGGTTTGGGAGGGTAGTATATTATATTATAATATACAAACGTTCGCTAAGGCTGAATGGAAATTGAATACGCTTCGTTTTTTTACTGCATATAGTATTATAATATAATACTATATTAATAATTGTGTTATTGAACGGGGGCGGGGGAATGTTTAATTTCATTGCATTATATTATTATATATTATTATACCGTGTACCTAGATAGGTATAATGCATTATGCGTTGTAATCAAATTAAAATTCATTATTTACGCTTTTGATAGTATTAAATTAAATAAGTTTTGTATATTTTTAACATTTTTATATAAGTATGCGTCAGCAACAGTTAATATAATCGATGGCACCGTCGTCGTCGTCATCGTATTATTATACTACGGGTATAATATTACGTATTGTACACCTATAGTAGATTTTACAAAATTGATTAATTATTGATAAAGTTATAGGTATTTCATTTCTCCGAGTATAATTATTATTACTATATTTATGTGTGTATGAAGCTAATTGCATATCATTTTAGGATCAGTATAATAAATCGATATTGAACGGTAAGTAGATAACTACAATAATACGAGTATATCGTATTATAATATTAGAGTGACCCGGTCGTTATAATATCCGCATGTTATATCATTATACAATGTGTTACAATTAAATGGTAACGTGAACAATTTCAGCTAGACGGACACAGACCAAATAAGAAATGTATGCATATATTATATATATACCGAAGGTGAGGGGTGCCAATTTTTACAATTATATATAGCCTTTAGTCTTTACGCGGTAAGACTAATTTTTCGTTCAATAGTAACGACTGTTTTAAATACTAGATTCGAATAATATCCTAATTTGTCCGAGCAACTTTGATCAATACAATTTTTTTCCATCGAATTACCCAAAATACAGCAGTCTAAAGTTTATTTAAAAAAATTGTATTTTTAAAAACAAATTAATTATTATGTATGTGTATTTTTTATGATTAATGTCTTTACCTAAGTTTAAAATTTTTTCCCCCATAAAACAGTACCTAATATAATTTCGTCACCTTTAAAGTCACACGTTATAAATTTTATCAAAAATTAGAAAAATCGTACTTTTTCAATAAACAATTTAGATGACTGTATCTTTGACGATTTTTGAGCAAAAAAATTCTACTTGTCAAAATTATCAAAATAAAAAAAAATAGGACTATTGAAATCTGATGTTAAAAAAGGTGTTCCCGTTTAAAAAAATATAAATTTTATTGCGTATACATTCGTATCGTATGAGGTTAAAACTCAAAATATATATTTTGGTATCCCCGATCTTCTTGAAAAAAGATACCCCATTTCAATTTATCCGATTGAAATATTTCGTGCTATACTATTTTAATGAAACGCACTGAAAGTAAAAAAAAAAAATCAATGCTTGAATTGGAGGGCACTGAGTTGCTCTTATTGTCTAAAAATATTTTAACATAACCCTTCCAATTTTTCATAATGGACCATCAGAGCCGGAGTTATCAAAAATCGATTTACTAATTTTTTTTGTCCATGGTCTAACGATAAACTTGACCATAAAAGTATAACGGTAATTATATAATAAAATTCCAAAAAAAAAAAAAATTAGAAATTATTAGTTTTTCGAATTTAACATTTAATTACCGTTAAATTGCTGATTTAATATGGGCTAAATTTACAAGTTTGGGGGTGGTGTCACTCTCAATCTCCGGCCCTGAATGAACATGGAAAAAAATTTAAATCTTGAGGGACGCAATTTTTGTTTGTTTTACTTTTAAGCCCCTTCTAATTTGTATCCAACCGCTGGATATAATATTATTATTATTATTATATTTACGGGTCAAAGTGCGTACATTACACCGAACTCAACGCTGGGAACATATTATCGTATAAATATAACACGATTATAGATATCGGATTAAAATATTATATTTGCAACAAGGATGTGATCCCGTCGAAATCGTTTTAATAGTATTCTAAATATATATATATATAAAAAACAAAAAAAAAACGATTGAGCGGGACTAAAATATCGCCTAATAAAGTGCCTTTGCACGTGGAGTGGTGCACAATTTTTTTTATATATATATATATATATATATACACACATACATATTTACCGGAATTACTTTTCTACTGTTTTCTACGTTTCTAACTTCAATATATGTATATATTTATATACCTATATATTATCAACAATAATATAAGATGTTAAAATATTGTACTATTCTGTTTAGTGATCATATAATGACGGTGTGCTATAAAATATTAATTATATATTGTATATCTTGTCACACTGTTAAACTATAATTATAATTAATAGTAATATTATTCGATTAATTTATACATAATATAATATATTTATACCTATATACACCCTGCAACGGGCATAATACTACATAATATTATTGTTTTATATGTAACAATTTTTTTTTATTTTATTAATTTTCGGATATTTTTTTTATGTACATATAATTATATAATATAATATAGTAAAATTGAATATTTTATATTATATAATTGTAATTATTATAGGTTTAATAGATTACGATCATATAATATAATATTGTATCTTATCATATAGTTGCCTATACACAATAATTATACATTCTGTAACACCGAAACTCTGTAAAAAAAAAAAAAAAATATAACCGATCAATGTATAATTTAAATTGTTTTGTATGTTTCGAGTGGGTCTAATTAGGTATAAAACGTATTTTGCAACCCCCCCCCCCGGTTAAATATTAAGAGGTTTAAAAATCGCTGGCACACCGGGGTTTAATCCAACGTTTTACCAGTGGCGTAACAACAGGGTAGAATGATGGCCAAAAATCTATGGACCCACGAGTACAATAAGAGACTCCATCATACTGAAAATTTAAGAACAATTTTACAAATTAAAATATACGAGTAATACATCGCTCCAAAAGTCCTCCGGTTAATATCGATAAATTAAGATAGGTAACGCGTCCAAACTTTTACAAAACTAAATTAAAACAATAAATTTTCAGATATAGAAAGTTGGAATTTTTAAAATATTACACAATATATGACTATAGATAATATAACGATTAGGGATAATAATGTAATGCTCTATAAAATCTAAAATTCCATTAAAAAAATGCATTTATACCCTAAAGATTCTAAATAATACACTAAAAATATGTTGATTTTCGATAATTCTGGTATAAATCATAATGTTTTACACTCACTTTACTACAATGAAACTCGTACTGGATAATGTTATAGCCAATTTGAATGCTCTAACAGATGATTAAACAAAAAATCTAATGATTTAAAAATACCACGTTGATTTTGCCTTAGAAGTTATCTGTTTAACCCTCGTTGTCTTGGTATCATACTACTGTCCGATTATGATATATATTGTAACGTGTTATATAATACGAGTACTTAATAGTTTATTATCCTATGTATACAATTCTCGTGTCACGTGTTTGTGGTCGCACTCCTCCGAAACGGCATCACCGATTTTAATGAAATTGTTTTTGTATATTCGGTAGGTATGAAAATAAATCGCTAAGTATTTTGCACCCTCCTTACTCCACCCACCATTTTTTAACCGCGATTTCAGTATTTTCGTTTATATATATATACACGAGCAACGCCATATAATTTAGCTTATAATATAATAAAAAAAAATGATGATTAATTATTATTAGAAATTAGTCGGAAAATATCATGTGATTATCAAAATAGGTCCAGTCGTTCTTGAGTTAAAATGGTATAACTAACCCGACTTTGTTTTATTTATATAAGATTTTTGTTTATTCAAGGGTTCCCATGGAAAGGAAAACTATTATAATTATTATTATTACTATTATTTACACTATTCAAATTTCAAAATATAACACATTTAGTCCGCTGGAGGTGGACTGCCCACTTTCCACCTATTTGTTTTCATTCAATTCTAACACGGCCAAAACCAAAAATAAATATGGGTAAAATAATAATAATACAAATTTGCACGGGCAACGCCGGGCGCGGGACAACTAGTATTTATATAACAATCATATAAGCTATTAAAAATATTAAAAAAAAATTTGAAATTCAAATTTTGTATCCAAAAATGTCCTCTAAAACTCTTTAAAATTAAGATAATAACTTAACCGCCAAAATGTGTGGAAAATAAAATGTCCTATTCTCATTCAAAAGTATACAAATTGAGTTTGTGACAACACAAGCACTGCACAGGAAGCTTTGGAAAAAAATGCAGAGTACATAGAAATCTCAGGGAAACCCCAGCCTTAATATTGGTTCTTTATCATATTATAATGAATAAATGGTTTGGCAATTATAATGAGTTCTAAATTTTAATTAATACCCCCTTGTATTGTTATTTATTTTTAATTTAAAATTCGTATTTTGCATACATTAAATATTTTGCAATTAAAAAAAATTAACTTTAAGAGTTGCGCTCAAAACAAAATTAATAAGTTTTTTTTCAGGGCAATCAAAAATTATTAACACTATAAATTATAATTACTCATACAAATATAATATAATATAGTACCTATAATATGTGGTCTTCCCGATAAAGCTACAAGCATATTACCGTTTTTTGTTAGATCTCGGAGTAAACGGGTTTGTTACGTGCTCTTTGGAGACAGTCTTTAATTAGAAATCGTACAATTTTCAAATTCTAAAATATTATCGTTATATTCATTTTTTGCTCAAAATATTGTTAAAATTAATCACCAGGAATTAATTATCGAAGAAGATGTACCTATACTACCTGACCCAGGTCAAGATTTATTGCGCATTACTAATTCTAACAAAGTGATGGAACTACGAAATGACTGAACAGGTTGACGTGGAGTTGACAGAGCTCTTCCCTTTCGTGCGTCGCTGGCATCTCGTTGAATTTATTCTGCCGAACTGAACTGTCCCGTCGTCTTATATCTGATCCACCGCCTTGGTCGGGAGTTAAAATGGTGAACGCTGCCGCGATTGTCTCCTCATAGCACGTCGTCCGGACCTGGACACGGTTTCCCCGTGACGTCCGTTGTTGCGTGAGAACACTTGCGTTTACCAAACCCGTATTAATGGCCCTTACATGTATTTATTTGATGTTTTAACCCTAGTCAAATTAATAAGTCCGTAGCATCTCCATACTAGAAAACAATATTAAACAATTATTATTAAAGAAAATATATAATACCTGTTCAATTATAATAATACAAACCATACTAATATCCACGGATTGATACATAGGTATCGAGAAAAATGTTGGCCTCAGCTCGGCCCACCTGATGTAAAAGTTCTGGCACCGCCACTGATACCTACCTACTATAAACATCATTGTAAATTCAATACATTCCTAGCTCCACTCAGAATCTAAAAAAACTAAATAACAAGGCAAATTAGCATATTGACATACTATGTATTGTGATTTTTACACAAAATTGTTTTATACCCAGTGGCGGCTCGTGCTGTGGTGCACAGGAGCAGTGCATCACCTACAATTCTGAAAACTATGGGTATATTGTTTCGTTATATTACTACAATATAAAAACATGTTATTAATTATTATGATATTATATTATAAAGTAGATATGCATTCGTATTTACTTTAGGGACAAGAACACAAATTGTTTTATGAAAGATTTAATGCGAAAAGTCGAGAAAAACGAATGTGATCGCGCGTTGTGGGTCGTACGCGATTCGCAGCTGCAGCGGTCACGGAGTACGGACGGGCGAACGCAATTTTCGCACCAGTCGCGCATGGGCATTTGACCGTTTCGGTCGCACAACTGGAACGACTGCCATTTGTCTCGGTGGTGTGCGTGATCAAATATTTACACGCCGCGGCGGTGTGTTGGTGCACAAACGAATATTGCACCGCCGCGGCCTTACTGCCGTCTGCCTCTACTGACGGGGAGAATACGCTGGGAACCAGTGGCGCGTTTAGGTTTTTTTGTAGGGGGCGGATGACAATAATTTCAGCGCACAGAGCCTTGCATATTAATTATATATTAAAATATAATTGTATAATAATACACGCGTGTATTCAAAGGGCCACGGGGACAGATCCGCCCCCGGTAAATACGTCACTGTTGGGAGCCGATTATTGCTTTTGGACAATATTAAATTTGTCCGGCGGGGGTGGCGTGATCTCCGAAAATACTCTATAGAAAACACTGACCGACCCGGTTTACATCCAATTCCCAAACAATATTGTTTAATGTAATGCAACGACAACAAACATAATTTTAATTGCCTAATATATTGTAGATTTTTATCTAAGCACCTCCTATATAAAAAAAAAATACAAATATATCCATACTTCTATCAAATATTTGTTTTGGTTCTTGTTTACTGAATCGACTGTACTTATTATATGCAATTTTTTAAATGTACTCCGCCAATTTTATCCACGAGCCGCCACTGGTCATACCTTATATCTGTAAAGTTTAAAATGAATTATTATTACCCTGTGAAAATGTCTCGTTTTAAATTATGTGATAAAAAAAATGATAACATTCTCTCGTACGTTTAAAATGATAGATAACACACTATTATAGTATTTATAACGACCCGGTCCGGTCGTTATATTAACATATTGCTCGCGAAATAAAAAGTCTACCGACGAGATTTTGCATAACAAATCGGAATTTATTTTCGATTCATTTCCTCCGTTCGCTTGCTAGGTTGCTTTTTTGGTAATGGACCCCGAACGAAGAAATTCTACATTTAAACATAGGTATAGATATTAAGCTCTTGGCCCGTTGTTATTTGTCCTTATCATTTTAGAATAACTGGTCTCATCGGTAGGTTGGTAGCAAGTTTATCTAAAACGTTTTGAACCAGAGATAATAAAACTTGTTTATATTTTTATGAAGTTTAATTATAAAGGAAATATTGATGTTCTTCTAATTATGTTGGATTTTAGTAGAATTTCATATTATCCCAAACCCATAATATATTTATATATCACCACGTTCTCGTCTCTTTTAAATGACCACAGTTCTTAAATAAAATATAATTAAACAACTTCATAATTATTTAACTTGCGAGTGTTTTAATTATTGTCTTCATACACAAGTATAACTGTAAGACAGTGTTATTTTCGAGTTTTGTAATGGATAACGAAATAACATTTGACAGATTACCAGTTGAAGTAAATATGATTTTTTTTTTTTTTTTGTAATTTTAAAGGTTCAAAAAAACAGTGATACAAATTCCTAGAGTATAATTCTAAAAAGACAAACAATTTATTTTAATTAAATGTACAGTTAATAGGTACCTATGTTTTTCATTATGGTCATTATGTATACAATGGTAGTATTTGAGATACTATTTACAATAAATTGTATTCCTGTAGATGATATGGCGACTGCTAATAAATAAACTAATTCATTCCACAATAGATCTTCCAAATTATACACTCTTTTTCCTTGTGATTTTTTTATCCTTTCTGTGTAATTATTAATTTTTGTCAATCAAAAACTGTACAGTATTTTGATATTTATATTCATATGTGCTTTACCCCTAAACTGCTGTATTGTTACTATTAAATTACTTAAAATTTGTGTTTAATATTATATTTTTGAATTATATGTAAATTTAAATATGTGTTTACAGGTCATTACTCATATATTTGTATTTTTACAACGTGCAGACAGAAAAGTTGCATCAACTGTTTGCTGGTCTTGCTATGAAGCATCTATTCATCCAAAATTTTTAAAAAATGAAGTTATAATTTTAAAAGATTTAAATAATCATGGAATTCAATATGCACTCGAAATATTTTCCAAAAGCTTACGTCCTTTTTTCAAATTTAGAATATGCGGTTTAGGGATATCATTTCAAGATAGTGATGATAATACTGCAAATGACATGACTGATAATTTAGTAAATAAAAATCATTGGGTAAAGACTACTTGGCCATTGTTAGCAGCTAAAGTAATCTTTTTGGAATTCTTTGATACAGTTGAATTTGCTGATGACATTTTACCTGCAATATTAAATGAAACTCAACAATTAAAAGTATTATTAATTCATAATCTTCAATATAGTCCCAACAATGAACTAAATAAAATTAAAAGACTTGACTCGCTTGAACAATTGACATTGGATAATTTTCTGACTGATAACATTGACAAAAATAAATTATTGGGAATTATACCAAAACAATTAAAAACAATTTGTTTCAAGTCTATGTGGTCTAGTCAGTTGATTATAAAAGATATTACTAATATATTAAACTATTGTTCATTTTACCTTGAATCCCTTGAACTTATAAATATTGATGTAACAACTGAATTAATGCAATCAATTTCGACTATTGATATGAGGCTGAAAAAGTTTAGTTTAATTTTAGCAGATACTATGCACTATGAACACGATCCAAAAATCTTGATGCCACTGATTAAAACAAAATGGCCATTACTTGATTTGACTTTAGCTGCAGATTGTTTAACTGATGAATTTATAGAAACTGTATTTAATACATTTGAAAACCTACAAAATTTTAAATTTATGAAGGCCCGCTAGTTCACTAATAACTTATGAGAGGGTTTGATGGTACTAGGTGATCCATTTAAGCGGGTACATTCATTACCTTGGAAAGTATTAACTTTTTCCGGAATTAGTTTTCTGGAATATTTAAGCTGCTCTTCAATTTTATATTTATGTTATTTTTGGGTGTAAAACTACTACCTACTTTTGATTTTCAAATGGCAACATATATTAAAAGTCTATAAATAAATGGAGTTTTTGTTTAAACAATTGTTAATATTAAAATTTTTGATTTTCCTCAATCTGTAGACAAGATATTCCACTATTAAGTTTAAGATAAAGGAGAGTAGAGGAGTATCATTTGTGTGGTTATACTGTGCACAGCGTGTTAATAATGCACCACTACACTACTCTCCTCCAACCCATACTTAAAAATGGAGTATCTTGTCAACCGATCAAAGAAAATCAAAATTTTCAACACTAAAATTTGTTTTAATTAATACTCCATATATTTATGGACGTTTTAATATAGGTTGCCATTTGAAAATCAAAAGTAGGTAGTGGTTTTACCCCCAAAAATAAAGGTGAAATATAAAATTGTAAAGCAGCTTGTTTTTAAAATATTCTAGACAACAAATTCTAGAAAAAGTTAATACTTTCTGAGGTAATGATTGTACCCGCTTAAATGGATCACCCGGTATACAATATAAATTAAATTTTAGTACTTCACTAAATAGATTAAAAAATCTGTCCATCGAATCTGGTAGAATTCCATAATTTCCATAATGCCTCAAAGAAACATGACATTAAAAAAAAAACTACTTCCTCAATTAAAAATTAAATTACTGTACTAGAAGAGATGTTTTTTTAATGATCATAAGAAACGTATAGTGTTTGACTACCAAATTATTTATTGTCTATAACAAATAATGTAATTAATGTGATTTAAAATATTTATTTTCCTTATTATTTAAATCCTATTTAAAGTTATATGTAAATCTACCTAAATTAAATTCATTATACACCATTCAGGTAATAATAATTTAATATAACATGAATATTTGTATCCAACGTAATAAAAGATGAATTCTTAAGTTGTTGCTTTTGATTAATTTGGTGTTTATCCATAAAAACATGTGTATACACAGTTTATTAACATTGGATTTTCAGAAGAACTTAGTAAAAGTATAATACATTGCCTAATCAGAGGTAGTCTGGGCCACCTTGAACGAAGAAAAATTTAATAAGCTGTAATGAATTTTTTTTTAATTCATTCAATTGAAAAGATATATTTTCTATATGCACATAATTAACAAAAAGTTAATCATAATGGAATAAATGTGTAAACATACATTATATTAAAAAAATGAAAACATCATCACATATGTTTAAAAACTATGTAGTTGAAATTAAATTTTTTTATTTTCTTCTCATTTTGCTTAATTCTCATAATTCATGTAAGTGATCAATGGTATAAAAATTATTATTGCGCTGTACTAAAATAAAATATATTATTTTATTACATGAGGAATTTTTTAAATTATCTATATGAATATATTTAAGTTATATAGAGGCGGCATTGCCATACAAAACTGGTTTCGCAAATGCCTCCAAAATACATGTAGCCATATTAAAAAAAAAATACCGTATCTCATTTTAAATAATTTTTCTACGCGCAACAAGCACTACTCGATCGTCGAAAGTGTTAATACAATGAATTGTATATTTTTATACTATCCTTATCTTAATTGTATAAATTGTAAGTTTATCTATCTCAATCATAGACATAATAGATGAAAATATCTATGATCTCGATCATGAACACATATACTCTCGATGCACCCATCTATCTATAGCCATGGTATCGACATTTTATCACACCCTATCATAGTAACCGGAGAACACCTCACATTCAATTGTCGGTTAGTGACATAGGTTGTATATGTTTTCTATGGTTAGAGGTTATGGTTTATTTTGCTAACAGCTTTGCACCTGATAATACAAATATTTGAATTCAGAATATTTTTCTACGCGATTCATTATACAACTAATTTTGTACTTTTCTTTTGTAGTATTATACATTTCTTAATTATATTCATGTATATTACAGTTGTACAATTTTCGATGAAGTACTTACTACCGACGTCATCAACTGAAACTACGATCATACGTAGATTGGTAATGGTAAATAATATAATATGTATAATAGTAACTGAAATACTGAAATAGTTTTATATTCGTGACTTTAGTGAATATCGAATACCGTAAAACATCATTAGGTTTTTCAAATATTTGATCACTTAAATTCGCGGTTTCTTTAATCATAAGTGTTCTTATCTTATTTTTATCTTATGTATTTATAAACCACTACAATTACTAGTATACAAATATGTCCAAAAACTTAAATAAATTTCCATCTGCCAGATTATTGCTTCAAACATTAACATAATTCAATCAAATTTTGATTCTATTGTATCCTCTTAAGAATAATGCCCTGCAGCCTTTTCTGAAACTTTACAAAATTTTTTTTCCAATTTTCACAGCTTCAAACAAACATTTTTTTTCATCTCTTAAAAATATTCACACTACAATACAATGTAAGGTGACTGGCTATGTGATCTTATGGTTTTGAATATAGAGAAATAAAGAATATAATACATATTATAAAGTTATTTTTTTATATATGAATATGATTTTTTAATAGAGTAAATATTTATGTATGTATTATTCATACACAACAAGTATTGGCTGGCTCATAAAACTGTTTTAGTAGGTATATTGTTTAGTATTTTTACACACATTTATTATAATAATAATGTGTAATTTTGCATGTATGTATTAAATTTTCAAAAGAATTGGAAACTATGTTTTTCTTTCTTTGCCTTACACACATACCTAAAACAGATGAAATTAGATGCATTATATTTTCAACGTACTGATTGGTCTAGTGAAGCAATACAAATTTTGAAGAATAATATATTTTAATTTGTTGTCAAATCTACTTAAAATCTTTTTTTCATACATTTTTAATCTTTCTAAATCCTACAAAAAGAATAATTAAAAAAAAAATAAAATACTTATTTTTGAAGAAATTATTATTGGTTTACCTAATATTTAAAAAATTATAATTATATAAATAGGCATATATGTAATTTATTTTTAAAATAAAAATGTAAAAAAATATGGATACATAACTTAATTACTTTGTATTATTATTCAGGTCTCAAAGTATATTATATTTTAAGACAAATTTTTTTAAGAATTATATGATCTTGATAATTTTTTATGGTTTTTCCAAACACAAAAATTAGAAAATTCTTTGAAACATTTGTATAAATTTGGTTTATGTATTATTATTATTATTTTAGATTCCGAGTGGAGCGAAGAAGCTTATAGTTTAACAAAGATATTTTTTTTTTCTGTAAACAACTTTTCTACCAAAAAACTTGCTCGGATTTCTAAGTGTATAGCACCTTTTTAGAAAGAAAATCGGTTTGAGAAGGTACTTTAGGGATGTCATTTTTCGATTTTCTCATCAAATTTGAAAAACCAAAAATAAAAAATGGGAAAATATAAGAAATGTAGGTATTATTTAAAACATATTACAGCCTTCTTTTTTTCTGTGAACAACTTTTCTATCGCCAATTTTGCTCCTTTTTTTAATGATAGCAATGTTACTAAAAGAAAATTTTACTAGGGAGGTACTTTAGAAATGTCATTTTTGATTTTCTCAGGCGTTTTCCCAGCAAATGTGATAAACCGTAATAAAACATGGGAAAAACAAAGGAAAACTGGGAAAATCGGTAAAACATTAAACAAATATTATTAAAGAAACTATATAAAGCCTATTTAATTATTTTACTATAAAATGGCATATATATTATTAACCTTTACCAACTGAACTCTACTACGAATAGTTTTTACGTAAGCAATGGTTTACTGTTGCTTACAGGTATACATTAAATTATCTATTACAGTGGCTGCACCCGTCCCCATTATCCTAGGATGTCTTTTTTATGTATCTTATCATTATGATTCTGGTTAATTTTTTCAAATTTATAAATGTAGACAATTTAACAAAAAATCAATGGTGTATTTAATTTTTAACTTTCATTTCAAATTAATATTAATTATAATAAAGTATGTTAACTTTATACTATACATTGAATTCAGGTAATATGGAACCAAATTTTAAGCATTTATAAAAAATTAAGTGCATGTTTGAATTTAAAACCGTTCATTGCAAAAATTTTAATTTTTAATACTCACTGATAATTAACATGGGTAACATCTAATAATGTAATGATTATACAATTTATCTGACAGTTTTTAAACCTACAATAATGTTGTTATTAATAAAAAAGATTTGTTTTTAACAATTAAAAAATCAATTACCAGTATTGAAGACATATTATATTTAGTAAAATTGTAATTAACCATTTAAAAAAAAATAATAATTTTAAACTAAGTATAATGCAATTTTACTTTTTAGATCCTTTAAATCACAAAATGAAAAGATTTCCACAACGTACATTGTCTGCTGATGATGAAGAAAACAAAAAATTTATTTTGAATTTTAGAGCTTCAAAAGAAATTGCTTTGAGTTGTTTTTCACCCGACGTAAGAGAAAATATGACTAAAATATTTGAAGAAATGTTGTGTGAATTTTTATTTGATATTCATATGGAATTACGTATGAATATTGCTGACCCAAAATGGTTTAGTGCGCCTTGTGATGAAATGATGGACACCAAATTACTTGAATTGGCTATCAATTTGAATATCACTAAAGGAAATCAGGATGTTGAGTGTCCTAACTGTTGTATTCTGGTTAAATGTCCATGGATGTCTAAACATTTAGCAGGATGCGGAAATTCTCAACAAAATACATATTCATATAGTAGCAGAAACAGCTCACGTATAGCACGGCAACGTATACAAGAAGGTTTTAAGACTTCTTATGATGAGTCCAAACTCGATGATGATGATGATGATAAACAAATTAAAATAAAGCCAAAGAAACGTAATAATAAAACCAAAAAGAAACCTGCAAAATAAAATAATTGAGGTAATAATATTCAGTACCTAAATTATAGTTTTGATAGTATTTATTTTTAAATATGTACAGAAGTTCAAAAGCACACGTGTGCATAATCTTTTACACAATTGTTTATGAAATAAACTACATTAGCTATGGCATATGGTATACAATTTATGTTATAATTTATAAAATTATTTTTATTATTATTGACTTTAATTGACTTAAAACTAATGAATTTAATTTTAAGTAAAATTAATTTCACGTTTTTTCTGGGTCATAATTAAATTCCTAGATTCCATATGATATGAATTCAGCAAACCTGGGCCCCTGATCTTTTGAAACCTGGGTAGGTGATTAGGGTAGTTATATGGTATTATTTCTTTAGAGTGGAGAAATTCAACTTATTATTGACAATACCATATTTCACCTATGGACGTAAACCTGTCGCAAGAGGTAACAAATAAGATTGCTTCACATCATTAACTGGTGTACAATTCTGTCTTATAGTACATGGAATGTTAAATTTAAAATGTACTAAAATATTAATACCACCAAATTATCATAATTTTGATTTTACCTATAGTGTTTAAATTGTTGATTTATTTTTACAGTGATCTAGACAATGAGTTAATCTTCAGGTTGTTTCCTGATAATGAAGAAATATATGATTTATTAAATGAAAACCTTGATGATGAAATTGAGAAAACTTAAAAATCATAAATAATATTGTGGTTCAAAATACTGGTAGTGAGTTACCCTTGAACATGATTGACTTACGAGTATGAAATGTTTCACATGAAGTGTTGAACATTATTATTATTCCTAATATGTGTTAATTGACTTTATATTATGCGTTATACTGTCATAACTGACTAATATTATTATTATTGTGGGTATTAGATTCACATTAAATTTTAAAATTATATTTATTATTTTTCAAAAATATATATAATTAAAGCAATATATTATTTTTAAAAATGTATTATATTATTACCTAAGATACCTTTATAACTTTACATATCAATTTAAACAAAGTACAATATAATGAACAAGAATAATTAATTGTTAACCTGAGAACACTTAAACTGCCTTCAGAATAACTATTGTCCATTCAATTATAAATAATTGATCTTCTGCTAATGCTTTGTTTACATATCTATGAAATTGATCCTGCCATAATTTTTAATAAAATAAAATTATATGACAATTATTTTTAGTCATCTTATGGACGGTATGTAAATTGTTAGTAATAATCTAACATAAGAGTGATTGCATGGTGTTTTTCACCATTTTGCAGAATCGTTTTTTTCGTTAGCAATGGTTTATTGTTGCTTACAAATAAACATTAAATTTCCTTCAGAATCCTATCTTTGCAACTTCCAATGTTGATAAACAATGATTTTCTTCAGTGCCATATCGCAGTGACAGTAACAAGTATTTTTACCTTGAACCACCAATTTAATTTTCTACCCAACCACCCACATTAAATACCCGATAATAATTTTGACATGATCATTATTTTAATGTATGGTGATAAGAGGGAAGGATACATCCTACAATAAGTAGAAACTAACGTCAAAAGTATTAACTATATTTTATTAAACATAAATATATGTACATATTATTGTCATATGTATATAGTACATTCATAACGTAATCATTATTTCATTCAGTTCAACAGACAGCAATGCAGGACCTATTTTAACAATACTTTGTCACTACTGTCATTCACTGTTCATCTACAATCGTATACTTTAACTGTTAAAGTAATAATGTTAAAACACATCATACAGTCTAAAATATTATTTTCTGTACTATCAAAGACAAATTAATGTTGTGAATATAATTGGTTTTTTTATTTTATTATTATGATTACACGTGTACCATTATAAATATATAATATATAATAATAATGTTTTGTACTATAAAAAAAATTCCATTTTAAAAATGGCATTAAACATAAAACTCATATATATTAATATATATATATATATATACAAAAGAGAAATTATTAATATCATAAAATTAATAAACATGTATGAATGTTGTAATCATGGTATGATTAAAAATATATATATATATATTATATTATTATATATGATTGAATGAACATTTTTATTAGATTATATAAAAGGAGAAATGGTTTACACAATCATTATTACATTATTTCTTACTAACACAATATTTTTTCCGTGCATTTTATTATTTATACATAAAAAAACGTAAAAAAAATAAGTCTGTTTAATATTTTTTATTTGGGTTTTCCTTAACAGTACTGTTTATAGTCAAACAACTAAAATTGTATAATAAACTGTTTAAATAGATTTTGATCACTAATCTTAGTCCACTAATATAAATGCATGCAATCTTTAATGTAACTAATAGGCACATACAAACACAGAAACTTTGTACACAATAACCGCATGTTACAAACCAGATATATCTTCAATTATAATATCAGGTTGTAAATGGAATTTTGCAAAAGTATGCATCTGTTATACATATATATATATATAATTATATATAAATATATATATGTACGTATGTATACATTTTTTGTTATATTTTTTTTTATACTTGCTCCATTTTTCAATTGTGTTTGGTTTTATTGGCCAGTAGTAGTTAATAGACGATTGATGTTCATATTTATTTTTTTTAGTAAAGACTAAGAATTTAAAGTAACAAAAATAAATAAATTAAAAATTAAATTGAAACTAAAAAAAATTTTTAGTTGTCATTCTGTACAGTCTGTTTTAACATTTTTTTTTTTTTTTTATATAAACTATACACAGTAATTTAAGTAAAAGAAAAACCCATAAAACTATTGATAAAAAAATATTTATGTCAATGTCTTAATAATATGACAATAGTTCTCACTAAATTTATGAATTATACCAAATATACTACATATTTTATGTGAAAGCTGCAGGAGGAATATTGGGTTTCAGTTTGGAAAAACATAAAGCAGCTTCAGTGTAATTCCAATCATTTTCTTCTAAACACCTGTAAAACAAATGTATTGAATAAAATGTTTATTTTTTTTACATTGGATGAAAACATATTAAACTTCAATTAAACTATATAGAACAAAATGAATCATTTATCTAATAATTTGAATACCAATCTATGAGGTATACTAATATTAATACTTGCATATGGTCATAAAGTATTCTTCAATCAGATAACACACAAAAAAAATTTTAATTGATAGCAATTTTAAACAAGATATAGGTATGTGATTTGTCTTACTTTTTAGCCCATACATTGTTCATGCCCGATTCTTTTGAAAAATTCTTGATTAACATAAGTTTTTCATCTGAATTATTGTTTGAATTTGTAGAGACTTCAGTTGATGGCTGATTCGCAAGCATAGGCGTATGAGTCGAACTTGCAGGAAGTGGTGTTGATGGATGATTTGCAAGCACAGGAATATCAGTCGAACTTACAGGAAATGTTGTTGTTGGCTGATTCGCAAGCATAGAAGTTTCAGTTGAACTTGGAGAAAATGTTGTTGGTGTTGTATTGTTATACATGTAAAATGAATTATTTAATTGTTGAGAGTTTGATTGAAAAGATACAGGTTCTGTTGATGATATGAGCTGATTATGTTGTTGACAAGCACCCATAACAAGTGGGTTCTGCTCAACAGGCGTCTGTAAACTAGCTTGATAAGGTGGTGGCTGCTGCTGTGAGAATGCAGGAATCTCTACTAGTGAAGGAGACTGGTAAGTTGAAAATTGGGTTTGCTGATATTGTGGTGGAGGATAGTTGGGTGGGGTGTCCTGCTGATATGATGATGATGATTCCATGCTAGTCATTTCTTCTGAATCCTCCATAAACATTGATGTGTTGTTGTTGCTATTAGGTGAATTACTCTTCTTTGGCAATTTTGATCTCGGTACATAAAACCGTTTTGATGATTCCTGCAGTTAAAAAAAATGATTTAAATAAAAATAAAGTTCAAAATTAAATCACTTACACATTGTTGTTCTTCATTAACTAGTGTTACAAATAACATATCACTCAATATACTCCATCCATTTCCAAAAGGCACTATACTAAATGCCCTACAAAATGATCGAAATAATGGTCTTTGTTGGTTCTCTTTATAGTTTTCAGCAAATACACCATTCACTACAATCTGAATTAATTGAGCCTTTGAACAAAAATAAGACAGTAATAAATAAAATTAAAATAAATTTCAAACTTACATTTGCTACCGGTACATCAATGAGAAATGAGCCCATGTCATGCTTAGTCTTCGGTAACTTATCTAGAAAATTGATTACGTTCTCTCTACCTTTGTGAATTAAACGATTTTTTTTGTTTCGGTCAGGTTTAAGTAGGTTTCGACTATCTGCTGAATACTGTGATAGATTACCTTTTGAACTAAAATATAAATGAATGATTAAATTTTGATTACAGATAAGGTGCAATTTAAATGCATACTTATAACTGAGAAAGCTTGACAAAGTAAATGTTGCATCTTCATGGTATGCTTCAGCAACCATTTGTCTTGACAATTTATTATCATACCGTTCATAGTATTGTTCTAAGAAAGATTTTACTAAGGTTTCTACTGGATTTTGTTCGTCTGTATTGTGACCTGCTGGTACTGCAAAACTATTCCCCAAGTTAACTGGCATTTTCAAGTTAGCACCAACAACAGCGGCACTGTACCGTAATGGTAATTCTGTGTTATCCTAAAAAAAATTTAATAACATTGCCCTACGTCCTAAATATCTGACTTAGATAAATATCAACATCAACAACCAATATAACATTTCTTCACCAAGATATCATATTTTTCTTTCTGTTTTTACCTTTTTGATTTCAAATAATACACAAATAGAACAAAAAGAAGTTCTACAAATATTAAAACATTTTTACTTAAATTAAGTTAAAGCCGAAACGACTGGGAAAATAAAATTGAAAACTGGAAGATTTGAACAGATAAATTTAATCACAGACAGCTGTTATTTACAAGTGCTTTGGTTCCAATAATGCAGTAGTTTTTTGTAAATATTAATTTGAAGTAATTTGTTAATATTTCATTCTATCATTAAAATATTATAATATTAAAAGGTTGTATTTTGAAATCCAAATAATAAAATATTTATTATCAACTTTATTTTAGCATGAATTTTTTTTTCCGAAAATATAAATTTATCTGTCTTCTTTCTTTAATAAACTTTAAATCTAAAATTTGAATTTTACATTATCATTTATATCTGTTTTTTTTTTTCTATAAATGATGACAAACAAAAATGTAATAAATTGTAAGGACTTATAAGGAAATATATACATTTTGTATATTTTCATTCCCTCTTTTTTGTTCTCATGTGAAAATATACATCAAATTAATACATACCAACATTTTCAGAAAAATATCTTAATTTGAAAAACTATAAAATTAAAATATGTTGCAAATTGAACATGCAATATACTATTATGATAAATGGAGAAAATAAAAATGAATAAATAATAAAACAGCAATGTTTCGCTGAAAATCCGAAATCATAAAATTGAAAAAATATCAACCACAATACTAACGTATAACACACTGTAAATGTCATGCAATTATGTTTAAAATGTAGTAACAAGAGTTGAGTTTTATATATTTTTTCAAATAAAAAAGTCAACATTTATTATTTAATTAAATATGAAATGGTTGTTTCTACACTTTGTCTTGTGTGTGTTGTAATTCATTCAAATACATAATAGGTACAAAGATACCTTGGTTGTAAAAACTTGCGATAACATCATTTTTGAATTTTGAACCAGGTAAGATGTACTTACCATGGACACCTTACCTTAATACACACAATAAAATGATCAAAATATTGTTATGTTAGCCATATATAAACATCAATATTGGTATTCCTTGCAAACATTTAGAACAGAGTCTAAATATGACAAAATAAAATAGAAAACACTTACCAGCTTATTTAGCATGGGAAATAGTTGTTGAACATCCCTGCAAAAAATATAACAAATAGTATTTAACTTGAAAATATAAATAATAGGACATTGCTCACTGTCTGTAACGCTCTTTATCCTCCGTATCGCTCACTGGATTTCTAGATAGGTTAATTACTTCAATAGAAAAACCGTGGAGGCCATTCAACTCATTCAAATCAGAAAACTAAAAAATATGTATAACTATATATTTAATGTGTTTATATTAAAATTAAAATATGATATTACTTTATTTCCAGCTAAATCTAAAACTTTAAGGTTTGGAAATAGTCTACGTATCCATATGAGCCCTTCGCCCATATATATATGATTGTTTTCAAGACTCAGGCCAAACAACTCAGACTTTGTATGTTGAGCAACTATGTTGAGAGCTACCAGCAAAACTGCTGGTCGGTTCAATGTTACAAACAGTTGCTTTTCGGTAAATACTATATAATAATATACTCAATTATTCAAGTGATATTTTTATTTAAATACTAGTAATAGTTTATAAAATTAAAATTAACATTTACATACATGAACACGCATAAAACTGTGACAAGTCTAAACTTTTGGTACTGGGATTATAACGAGTGGCCATCACCTCTACCATTTTTTCTCTTATTTCATTGGACACTGGTGTGAATATTGTAGTACTTCGTGGAGGTGTATATATACCCACTTTAATGACCAACTAAACACAAATGTTTATAACTGAATTTATTCAAATAATACTAAATATTTACAACTTACTTTTCGACTATCTCTAAGTGTTATCTTGTAACTAGTGTTGTGCAATATTTTAGCAATTTTATAATCATCAACAACAAATCTCAACGCATTATCAAAAAATTGTTTCTGTAAATTTAAAACTATTAATTTATATGATATTTTACAAGTTTAATGGAAGACATAAAAATAACTTACATTATATGGATAAAATGTAATAGGTGAAATATACGTTTGAAGTATTTTTAAAATTTCGTCACAATCATTATTGAGATTTGGTACCTTGAAAACCAAAATATTTATATTATTGAAACTATTATTGTGAGTAAAAACATTAAAACTTACATATATCGAATACCATCCTGTGTTACTTTCTTTTAAAGTCCATACTGTGGATCTGAAATTACCATAATTACCACCACCTCGACCATGATTTCTTTCAGGGTAAGATCTAATTTATTACAACATGTTATAAAAACCTAGTTTAAAAATAATAACAATTAACAATAACTAACAAATAACTAACCGGCGGCTTGAATTATTTCTGGGTTGTCCATTTCGGTTTTGATTTTCTGATATATGAGAATCATCTAGTTGTTTCCGTACTAATTCGGTTTTACTATCCCAACTTTTACGATAGTGGTGATTACCTCCTCTATGTGCTTTAAATGTCACTTTTTTATTACTAAAACGATCTAAATAATTATTACTACCTCCCCGACTAGTGCTAGGTCTCGAACCTCTATCATCGTGTTCATTTCCTAAAATTATAATAAAAACAATGAATAGAAAAAATTAGCTAGGTTTGAATTAAAAAATTATTTTCTTAATACAGTGAAGAGTTGATTATCTGCACATAATTAATTGTTACTACAAAATTAGTGTACACATTTATTTACAGATTCCAGTTTTACCGTATATTATTATTTTTGAAATCATTTTTATAACTACTATAGCTCACTTTAATTAAGGAATTAAATAGTTTTCAAAACTGGTTGGATCTTGTAAAAATAATCAAACATTTTTATCTGTTTGTTATTAATTTATATTCATAAGACCTTTAAGAGGACGTCACTATTGCATTTACTATCTCTGGTTTTCTAATAGACAATATCTAAAGCAATAACATGTAACTAAAGTTACAACAGCATTCTAACTCAAATAGAATTGAAACAAAATTATCACCAAATTAAAGATATTTAATTTTCACAGGAGGGTTTTTTTAAATTTTCTTTATAAAATTGTATATTAAGGTAAACAATTTTAGATTCTTCGCAAAGAAGCGAGAAATGTATAGGTTTTTTTTTTTATCTGAAAACAAATTTTACTTCTACTAGTAATTTAGCTTAGATTTTCAATTATACCTAGCACTTTTTCTAGAAAGAAAATCTGACTGGGGTGGTACTATTAGGAAGTAATTTTTTTTATTTTCTCAGCATAATAAATGAGAAAAACACGAAACAAATATTATACAAATATTATTAAAAAAATATACAACCCTTATGTAATTTTACCATAATATGATATATATATATATATATCGTGAACAAAGCTGGTGCTATTAATATTGTTCTATTGACCGAACTCCGCTCAGAATGGTTTTTCGTTAGCAATGGTTAGTTGTTGTGTACAGATACACATTAAATTTTCTCTCGTAGAAGGAAAGAAGATGAGAGGAAGAATGAAAACCAGGTGGTTGGATGCGATTGAGATTTATAAGGACAGTTGGTGAATCAAGGTGGGAGATTGGGTCAAGCGGAAGTTTAACACGAGTTGGTCGACCCCAAATAGTTGGGATAAAGGAAAAGAAATTTTAAAATAACCAATAGAAGTTGTAATCATGCTCAATATATAATCAAAAAATTAAATAATATACCTACCTACTACAAATGTACTTAGCTATATATAATATTATAATACCTATTTAATTTATAATATAGTATCTACCTAATTTTCCAAAATGTGTAAACCTATTTTCTAATTATCAAAATATTATATTCATTTCATACTTTTATAGAACCTATACAAACAATTACATTTATCATTAAAATATATAATTGACACATTAGTACATGTTATAGTTATTAAGATTATAAGATGAATGTATGGAATATTATGAGTGAGAGGCATTGTACTGGGCATACTTGTACAGGTTATAATTTCTTAAAAAAATTATTATTATTTTGGAAGCCCTTAATTGTAGGAACTGATTGTAATATCTCATTTTAGATTTAATATCAACCCAACAGTAGGAAATGTTTGTAATAGTCAAGTAAGTAACTATTAGAATAATAAATTATAAAAATAGACCAACCTAGAATTGATTTAGAGTTCCTAGCTACACATGTGTTAACATAATAACTGAAATGTATATCCTATGACAAACGGAACAAATTTCTAAATAACGAAACATTAACTGAATTTATTTCTAGCAGTCTACAGTAAACGCCGTAGAACTACCGACTATAATTTACTGATCGATGTTACAGTCTGCGACCGCTTTCTGTCCCCCGTTGTATCTTCACACTACGAAATACCATCAATTAGAGAAAAGTACATCAATCAATAGTATAATATTAGACGAACGGCAAATAATTTTTGGACTCATTGAAGAAAACCAGAAACTATCTAACCGACTGTTAGTCCCTAAACTGGACCATGTTATCCACGGATCAAACACATAAATTATTATGTCAACGTTGTGCTGCGTGTAATGAAGTAAAATAAAAAACGAATCTGTGATTAAATAGAGTACTCACGCGGGTTCACATAGTGCATCCTCGAAGATCGACCTCTGCCTGGTCTGCTAGTCATCATTGACGTATTAACCGTCTTCGTTCTAAACAAAACTAACACAAAAACAATAAAATTGGAACGACAACGACGGCGGCGTTGTCAGTGTTGTAGTTACAGAAAAAAGATTAGAGTAGTACCCGTCTCATTTAACTGTAGCGCAACAGTGGGTGGATACTGAGTAAGCGATGATGACACCACTAGTCGAAAAGCAATGTAAACAAAGTGATAACATTATCTATGCAAACAACAAACTCTTGTTTATGCTTCCATGGAAAAGCACGAATTATGGACACAGATTTTGTACTCACACAGTCATATTAAATTTAAAATAATTATTCTAGTTGTTAAATACGACGTTTTTTAATTGTTAAGAGAAAATAACGGGGGCGCGTAGAAATCTGAAATTTACAAATCCGGAAAATCTCGGAAGAAATGTTCATACCCACATAGTATTACCAACTTTAAATGAAAATAATTAAATAATTAATTATAGCGTTTATTAAGTATACGCAAGGCATAGATAACATAAGATCACGAATTAAGAAATATCTTAATCTGTGCGCAAGGTGGATACATACCCCATAAAGCCACCAAATAATGACAAATTAAACACCATTTTTATAATCCGTCAAAATGCCATCCGACGAAAAACCGTACGGCATAAAGCCCAGTGAATACCTGATAACAGACAACACTACTAGCCATGTATTAATATATGATATATTTTAATGCGATAATTATCAAATATTTGGCTAACGGCAAATTTTGAAAATTTGTTTGAAAAATGGTACAGACCTTAGATCATATACTATGAATAGAGCAATTAACTAAATATTTGAAGCAAACAAAACTAAGGGAAGTTTAGACAAATGGGTATGCGCATAATGTATATCACGCGCAATTGGTCGAATTCACATAATCACGTGTGACGTAACTACCATCATTGCCTGGTGGTATTATAATGATTATACGACGAATACGCAACGAGTAGTGATACGCATGCGCAAATATTCACTAGACAACAGTCCATCTTAGCATTTGTTCATAATTATCTCTAACTCGTAGCACAGCTTAAACCGTGACCCGGAGTACGCGGTTATCATGCATTAGTTCTATCCATAGTATATTATCTAAGGTTCAAACGATCAAATATCTGATTAAATTATCCGTAATTAAAATTCTGTAGCGATTGGTGAAATATAATCGGCGCAAATTTAATTTGTACAATAATTATCATAGGTAGTACCGACAGCGCGTAAAAATCTGGAATGGACAATTTTTAAAAATATAAATCTTGAATCCAATGATTTATGATTATCGAAATTTAAACCGTACAACCTGGAATGTCAGTGTCTGGAATATAAAAATTTTGAAAAATAATTTACTTTGTACTTTCCAGATATGTATTTTAAAGAATTTCCAGTTTTGCACATTTAAGGTTTGTGCATTCCAGATTTTTACGCGCTCCCCTCGGTAAGTTAGAGTAGATAAAATACTAATAAAAGCCGCTAATACCTTTCTCGGCCTTTTATATCAGTCACTGTTTCTATTTATCTCACATCAATCAGTAATAAATTAAAGTATTTGTATAGTATAAAAATTTAAGAATTTTCATAGTAGTTAAATTAATGTTTTTTTTTGAAAAATGTAATATAAAAAATATTAAGAAATAACACATTTAAAAGTATGTGTTAATTAATTTCTCTCTGTTTCTATGACGAGTCATAGAAACAAGTAATTTGCTACTACACAGTTCATTAGTTATTAAAGGATGATTAATAACATTGCCTGATGCACTTTTAGAAAATTAGAACAAAGATTATTAGATTATTTAACAAAAACCCTGGTTATTAATGGTACAAGTATTGCACTGCCCAATACCATAACTAGTAACATGGGTTCTAAGTTTAAATACTGTCCTGTGATGTTGAATGGTCTTTTTATGCATTTAAGCTAATTTTAGATAACAAGTGCCATAAATTTAAAATGGATCACTTGGAGCAACATCTGGATTTGTACTGTTATGAGAACTATAATCATAAATAAATATTTTGAACATAATATACATAATCATTTTTTATGCAATAAATTTCATTGTAATACAATTTTTAAAAGTGTGTTTTTTTATTATTTCTTTATTAGTGCATTATATTTGAACAAAATTTATGCATATTTCAACCTTTTAGGCTTCGTATTTACATACCTATAATTGTTTTGTCGCTGCATATAATCTGTGGTTTAGTGATGACCAAAAAAACTGGTAATCCGGAAAGCTCTTCTTTCTTTTAATCGGTTTCTTATATTCATGTTTAATTGATTAAACATTGTCTAATGTACATCCAATTCCACACTGCTGCAAAATTTGCAGTAAAACTACTAAATTTGAATGATCCAATTTGCTCATGGTTTTATTGTTACCGAAATATTTACTGCAACATGTATGCTACTAAATAACTGGGTATGTAAACTTCACAATTACTAATTATTAATTTAATTTTTTTACCACAATGTGTGCATTTAGGTAAACTAGTTTTAATATTTTACTAGACTATTTTCAAAAAAAAGAAACATAAATATATTAGTACTCCTTAGTAGATAGACTAATTAACTACTAGTAACAAGTAACAATTAGTTACTAAGTATGTACACATTTTCAAGGAGCAGTAATATACATATAAGAACATCTCTTAGGACTAAACATGGATTCACTCTAGACTATGAGTGTGAAATCCAATGAAATCTGAAAAATCTAAAATCTCTATACTGTTCAAATTTGTATTTTTTACTATATCAATCAATCAGTCAATTTGAATAAAAATACATCTAAATTCCTATAATGATCATGTGTCAGACATGGTTTTTAAACAAATTTAAAAAAAGCTATATTAATAGTCGTTACTTTTGCACCAAAATATGAATAAAAAAAATATATTAAAATGTATTATTAACTATACATTTTTAAAATTATATTTTTATTCTGGGCTTTATTTTCTAAATACAATCAATAAAATTATGCATAACATTAAAAATAATTATACTTTATTTAATTATAGCAATGAATGAATATATTTTTAATTAATCATTGCCAACATTATTTACTTGCCTAACATTTATATTAATTCTTGTAACTTGCATGTATTTCTTAAACGATTCTTCCCATTCATTGTCATAATTGTAATCTTGATCATTTTTAGGTGATAAAACTTTTGGAACACCGTGGTAGCATAACCGGCTTTCTTTGCTCATAATGATAATATCTCCAGATCTTAGAAGTACAGCAGTTGGCTTATCATCTAATGAGTGTCCTCCAATCAGAAATATGGCACTCAAACCAAAACTTTAAAGTACAATAAGTATAACATTACATTAATATTATTATTATTATAATAATAATTCGAACAATAGTTTAATCTTTTGTTTTACCTTATTGACAATAATGGAGCACTGAGATTATACTCTGAATGATCAATGTGTCCAGACAGTGTTGATGATGGATGATAGAAGTTTACAATAGCTGCTTCTGCCATAAATTCATTGGGGAATTGTAACCATTTAGTAATAAATTTACTAAGGTCAGATAAATCTGTTGGAAATTCATCTTTGGCTGATTCAGAATACACCTGACAGAACATTTAAGTGAAAACTATTATTTCATCCACCACTTTAATAAAACTAATATAAATTAATAATTTATATGATCATAAGCATCATTAAAAAAATTAAAAATCAAAAGTAGAATAAATAAAAATTTAAAACAAAAATATTAATTATTCAATCAATATTTTTAATTTTTTATATATGTAGAATTCAAACAGCAAAAGGTAAATTTATTCTGTGTAAACCTTTGTATCCCAGTCGTGGTGATATCCAAGTGTAGCCCATCGTAATTGATCTCTAAGTTTGACATTATTTGTCCTAAAAAACACAATAATATTATATGAACTCAAATTTAAAGATAAATCTAAAATTCTACTTTAAAAATCAATATTATAAGTTATAGTTATATTTCAGGTAATATTGATTTTAAATAAATTAAGCTAGCAAGTAATTGAATTTATACAAAGTTCTGCAAGGATATAACATATTTATATACAGGAAGCTAACTAATATATTCAAATTTAAAATACTTAATTATGTACTCGCAAATAAAAATATTTTAAAACTAAAGTGTTTTGTTATTAATATTACAAAAGTAATTATTTATTGTATGTTATATTTAATTTACAGCTAACTTATTTACTGTAGTCCACCAGTCTTCACCAGGTTGAAAAAAATGGTGGTTATCAATATTTAAACGATTTGGTTTCTTAGTGTAATCTACAATGCATCTTTTTATCCAATATTTTTGTCCAACTGGTGTGAATGGATTTTTAATAAATATTAAACCTGAGTATATAAATATATAAAATAATGTAAACAATAATTTTTCAAATTTAATTAGGTTTTTTATATCTTACCTGGTATATTTAAAATTTCATAACAATTCCAATCTGATAAATCTCTTTTCAACCCAAGATCATCAAGTTTTTCTTTATTGTAGGTTAGATATTTTAATTCTTTAGGTTTCTTAAATAAATAAAATAGATCAATTTATATTAATACTATAGGTACCATGTTTTCAAAATTAGGTACTTATGTTTTGTGCAATTAACAACTTACTATTAATTCGGTATTCACTACATTCGAAAAATCGATTATATCAGAATTTTGATCAAGAGTATTCATTCGCTTATAAAACTTAAAATATTCTTTAAACATTTTTATTTTTCTAATTAATCACAATTATTCAATATAACTATATGGGCATATGGCCCATTATTTTATGCACGTGCCACTCGATATCATAATATGATAATCATGTATATTGTTTAATAAATAATTTATTATAACCAGATTAATCATGAGCATCTCATCCCAGATTAGCAAATTGGGGTACACCAAAAACTATTTACGATAATACGGAAGATGGTACACTTTTTAGTAGTTAGTTTAAAAGTGTAAATTGTAAAACTTGGCGATCGGTCTTATCAATTCTTCCTAAGAGTTATTAAAATTGCCTAATTTTACTCCTTAAGTTAATGTTATAAACTCTACTCCAGTATTCTATACCGTAACTATTTAACAACCATGTTAACAACTGTACTATAATTATATAGTAAGAACCATAGCTAAGTAGATAGGTATGATTATAACTTTGTAATATACAGGTACAATAGCCGCACTAGCAGTGATTCCTGTTTTATTTCAGTCTATCTGGTAATCAATATAACTGCCAGCTGAGTTTTCTTTGCATGAAAAGCTATAGAATAAACAGTTGTGATCATACCTATATATTTAGCCATGGTAACAACCATAATCGGCACATAATTGATATAAACCCTTTCTTTATAATAATATTTATTTTTAAAGGGTAAAATAATGACAACCCGGAAAACCACAACTATGGATTATATTATCTATAGATAAATATTATCTGTGAACCACTACAATAGTGCAACTAGAGGGACTGATATTGTTCGAGTCGCCAGTTTGTCCATAGACGATACTCCGATAGACGATAGTAGAAGGTCTATAGTTTTTCCCATATTGTCGTTTATTTGATTATATGATTATCTTGGGTAAATGTATTCACAGAATAAAGTACTATCACCAGTCGGCAGTCATCACAGATAAGATTATGGTTTCGTTTCCGTAATATAAATTGTTATTTTGATATATTCAAACGTAAATTGTGAAAAATTAAACACTTTAGTTATAAATTATAATAGGTATTTCAACTATTAAAATATGGCAAGTTCTGACGATGACCTTGACGTATTACAACTTTCTGCAGAAGCCCAGAAAGCTCTAAAAGAATTTTACGAAGAACAAAACGAAAAATTGCTATCTAGTTGTGACAATGAAAAAGTCGTGACAGATGTAAAATTTGATGAGGATTGGGTGAGCAATCTAATTTTCGTATCATTTTTTTTTAATATATTTCTTATATACAAGTAGTATTAACATATAAACCCGATTCCTTCTTATTGCAGCAATTAAGTCAATTTTGGTATGATGAAAACACATGCAATCAAATTGTTGAATGTGTTCATCATACGGTTGGATCTAACAGCACTGTAGCATTGATATCATGCCCTACATTATATAAAACCTTTAAGGAAAAGATACCTACAATATCAAGTATGTATAAGAATCAATACTGATTACATAAATAATACCGTTCTGTTTAAATATATATAACTATTGATTTACAGTTAAGCTATTTGAATATGATCAAAGGTTTAGTGTCTATGGATCAGATTACGTTTTCTATGATTATAATGATCCAATGAAATTTGATAAAAACCTATTGAATAGTTTTGATTTAGTTGTTGTTGATCCACCATTTCTTTCTGAAGAATGTCTAACAAAATCATTATTAACTACAAAATCTCTAACAAGAAAACATGTTATACTATGTACAGGTTAGTATTTTTCTAATACTTCAAAGTATTTAAAGTACCTTTTTAATATGTTAAAATAATTTTTTTAAATATTTATATTTTTAAACGAAAACATTTATGAACTTTTTAGGCGAAATCATGGAGGAATTAGCAATAAAATTATTAAATGTTCACAAATGTTCATTTGAACCAAAACATATAAACAATCTTGCTAATCAATTTGCTTGTTTTACAAATTTTTCATCTACACTTGACTAGTAAGTAGTTTGTATGAGTTAAAACTGAGTGATATATTAACAATAAACAATTAATTTTTTCTCTTTTTATTTTTATTTTTATATAGTCGATTTAAATTTAATTTAATAAAAATAGCTCAAATGAAATACTTAATAGTGCATCACAGAATTTTTTTGTCCATACAAATGATAAACAACCTTTGGGTATTTTTAAATAATGAATTGTAGGTTGTAATATTAATGTATTTTTTGGTTTTTGAGCGAAGTGAGGAATGTATTGGTTTTACAATGATGTCAAATTCTTTTTATATTATGTACACAATTTCTACTAGAAATCTTGCTCCAATCAAAACATGATAAGAGACTTTTTTGTTGCATCTTAGCTCTAGTCTGTACTTTTAAAAGGGCCATTTTTTTAAATTCTCATTAATATTTGAGATAATGAAGAAAATTAGTTAAGTTAGGTTAAAAAAAGATTAAAAATAAAATTGTCCTTGACAACTGTTTTTAAATATTCGTTGTCATGAAAATATACATTATTGAAAAAGCAATACTATTTACTGAATTCCGCTCAGAATCGTTTTTTATTAGCGATGTTTAAAATTGTATAGTATCTATGTTGTATTTTTGTTGATATTATTAATTATTGAAAATAATTTAACTTGGCCTTAACCTAACCTTAACTTAACCTAACTTAAATTTTATTTTCCCTTCATATTAAAACACAAACTGATATTATTGATTATAGAATAGACGGATGGTATAGAAATATTTGGCGACTAAAATTATAGTTTGGGAGCTCCCATGAGATTGTGCAGTAATATTCTACAACATTTTTTTACTTCCAACAAAAATAAATATTTACCATAAATATAACACTGCAGCGGTGGCCAGTATCCAGTAGTACCTGGTTATTTGTGTATATTAATAAACACTAAGTATAATTTTATTTTTTACAATATATAATATATATATATATATATATATATATATATATATATAACATCACCTACAACAATTGAACAACACTTTTCAAATAAAATCATAAAAAATTCGGTAATTTTTAATTTTTAGTCATTTTTACTTTTTTTAATATTTGGTATTTAACACAAAATTCTATAGGTAGGCATTTACTGAAAGAATGCATACATTTTCATACTCACTTACTATATAAAATAAATAACATACACTAAAAGATAGACTGTGGGCTCTTGGCTCCGTCAATCGTTTTAAATAATACTGTTAATCAGACATTAAATATTTCAAAAAATTCAATATAAAAAGGATGGACATACCTTCACACATGGGTGTAGCCACTGTTGTAGATGGGAAGTTGAGAAGGTAGGATAAATATTATCCTATATTTATCCTAACTTCTCATTTAATGAGAATTAATTAATCTACATTTAATGTTTATCTGTAAGCATTGATAAACCATTGCTAACGAAAAAACAATTCTGAGCAGAATTCAGTTAATAGTGATGCTTAAATATATAGAATAAAGATTAATATTTAAAATAATGTATTGAAATCAAAATTTATTTTATTTGAATATATGTCATTCTATAGTATTGCTTTTTCAACAATGTGCGTTTCCATGGCAACAATATTGTTTAAAAAAGATTCAAATAATAAAAACAGTTGCCAATGAATACCTTATTAAGTTGCTAGGTAATAATGTTATTGTTATCAAAGTGTTATAACATTATACATGATTTAGTATTTTAAATTTTGATAAGTTTGATGTTTTCGATATTCTAAACATTTTACATTCAGTAGGATTTTAGATTCTAAGTGAAACAAAGAATGTATTGGTTTTACAATAATGTTTATTTTTTTTTTTTTATGTGAACACTTTTTCTACGAGAAAGCATACCCCGATTATCAAGTATGGTTCTTTTTCTGGAAAGAAATTTTCTCTGGGTAGAATTTTAGAGAGGTCATTTTTTAAAATTGTCTTTAATATTCGAATAATGAAGAAAACTTCAATTTTTAGGTTAAAAAATATTGAAAGATTAAAAATAACGTTGTGATTGACCACCGTTTTTATTTATTTTTTGTTATTATAAGTTTTTATTATTTTAATTTTTTTTATAAACAACCATTGTTGTCATGAGAATGCATATTGTTTTAGTCATTTTACGATAATATGACATAATACCATGTATTATATTGTAACGTTTAAACATACAAAGCAACATTATCATCTGAACTCGGCTCAGAATCGTTTTTCGTTAGCAATGTTTTATTGTTGCTTACAGATATACATTAAATTCTTGTCTGTATCCTACTTTCCTAACCTTCTGCCTACAGTGGCTGCACTCACGTGCGAAGTACATCTGTACTATCTGTCTTTTTTTATATTAAACTTTTTGAAATATTTAACAGTCTAATTAACAATATTATTTAAGACAAATGATGGAGCCAAAAGCCCACTATTTTTGTCAAAATCTGAATAATTTTTAGATATTTGATTTTTATTGTCAAAATCTTTTATTTAGATACTCACGTTTTTAATTCAATTATTAGCATTGATATAATGCAAGGTTAACTTTCACTTAGATAAATTATTATGTTGTTTTTAACAAGGTATAGTGATGAAAAAAAAAAAACAGTTATTTATACAATAATATATTATAAATTACAATGCTCAACAATTACAATATTTATATTATGGTTAATGTTGTTATATTTGTAGTTTTTGTACATGAAAACCGATTGTGTGCTGTTAGTTTTAACATTAGGGTGTATTTGTTTATTATTAAGCCTAAAGATAAGATCATTGTCAATATTTGTGCATTTTTTTTTTTGATATTCGATTCAAATTTTTAATCGAGTTATTATTATGTAAAATATTAGCATTTTAAAATCATTCTATTTTTCTTAAATATTAAAATATCAAAAAAAAACTAATTTAATAACACAAACAATATTCCCACCTTTAGGTTTGACAATAAGCCAATATACTCTAATATTAAAATAAATGGCACAAAATATAAATATAGCAACATTAACCGATTTCACAATGTTTATATCTTGAGTCTCTTAGTAACAATATGGTTCCTGTAGCGTGTGGATGCTGGCAGCTATTCCCATAGGTACAATGTAAGAACAAAGAATAATGAATTATGAAAATATTATTATTATTATTATTTAAATGTGGTTTAATATTTTTAATTTTGAAAGTTTACCTAATTTTGATGTGGTGGAAAACATTTTTGTTTTATTAAATATTTTGAAAAGTAAAAGTGGTTCAATTATATATATTTTATACTTTATACAGTTTTTCATTGATTCATCTAACCATTTTTACACGCTCAGTTAATTGAAATCAATTTTTTTTTTATTTAAATAGTTTTCATAATTGTTTTCAAAAATATTTAAAATTATGTTTATTGCATTATTGAAACTATTAAAGAGCACTTTAAGACCACTTTCATCATCAATTGAAGTATAATTATTATTAAGTAAATGTAATTGCTTTTTATTGCTCAAGTTTTTATCGATGAACTATTCAAGTTGACGACAATGGTTACAATTAAATTTCTTAATACATTTATAACTCAAATAGTTAAATTTTGTATAAAGCTCTCAGATGGGAAATGTTCTTGACAAAAATTGCAGTTTATCTGGTTTGATAGAAAATAAAGTTGCATTTTCTGGGTAGATATACAAAATTAAGTGTAAATAAAATAATAAATAATATTTATAAGTAAATGAATAATGACATATTTTAAAATGTATAAATCATTTATCATATTCTATATTTAATATATACAGAGAAAAAATGTACAGTAAATTAGCCTAATAATAATCAATTAGTGAATGCAATTAGTCTGCTACATGACTATAGATACTTTTCTCTGATCTTTAAACAATTATTAAAAATTACAAATTAAATGAAAATAAAAAGTTGATACGTCATAATTTTCAGAAAAATAAAATATAAAATGGCCATCTCCAAATTTTTCAAAAAAAAATGAAAAATGAATTGAAATATAAATATTTATTGTTCTTATCACTAAAAAATAAAAACCAAAATTTGACAATCTTTATTATCACCGAATATATTAAAATGGGTATATCTTCATGAGACAGCCTTTAAATAGGTAGTGACAAAATAATATTCGCAATCCTATGGAAAAATCTTCTTCAATATTATAAATTTTGTATAAATATTTTAAATTACTTACTTACTTGAATGTATTACCCAAATTTCTTTTATTTCGTCATTTTGAAAAGAATACTTTAAAACTTGGAAGCATTTTCTTTGAATTGCCACAATTTAAATATTGGCACTTGTTTCCAGACATATTTCCAAATTTGAGATTAATTATGTAGTCTACACTGCATAATACAAAAACCAGAAAATGCAGGTTGTGGGTTGTTGCATGATAAACAATTAACAAGATAGTGATAATAAAATAATAATATTATTTCCAATGATTTTAGTAAATATTATTATTCTATTCTTAGAACACGTGCGATAAGCTACCCCTCCATACCACTCAATCATGATCAATCGTCTATAATGGGAGTAACACTACCTTGCCTCATAGCTTCTCCCTGCATTCCTATTCACCTGTGGTAGAAGTACCACCATCTTGCATCCCAAACTACACTAGCTCTTCATAGTGGTAGCATCCTACGAATGGTCGCCAAATATTAACATTGCATGGGCTATCTGTGTATCTGTCTGTTCTATAATCAATAAATTATAATATTTTTAAACCCAAAATTTGTTTTAAAAATTTAATTTAAAGTAATAAAATTCCCAAACTCTAGATTATGATTTACCTACAAATTAAAGGGATTATTAGATATTTAAGTGATGACAAAGTTCTATAAAATATAATTGTCTAAATTTTTATCTCTAATCATAATACAAGAGACACTTTTGTTATTATATTAAATATATAATAAAGCAGTATAATAAAATAATAAAAAAATACTTTTGATCTGTTATTTTTTTATCGTTACATATTTGTACATAATTCACGTCTGTAGTGTAGCACTATAGCCACATAAAATAATTTAAACATTATTATTTTAATACATAATATCAGATAATAGAAATCAAATTTACTAAAAATCATCTGAAAAAATTGCTAGTTCATGATAAAAACAAATCACTACACTGTGTGTAAATCTAAAATTTATACAATTTAAAACATTAATAATAATTTAAACTTAACTAAACAATAATAATGTTATTATAAAAAATCTGTCTAAAATATATTAATAATAATAATTCAAATGTTAAATAAATATATGATTTAAAACAATACATTATTTTTGTATTAAAAATGTACAGAGTGATTAATTTATCAAGAACCATTAATTTTCACAGAGTATTTTAAATGAATTTGATTTTTTGGTTTTTTAAAAATTACGGAATCATATCAAATTTATTTTAACAATATTTTCAGTTGTTTACTCCTACTTTGTGTGCTGCAGAGTAGTATATATTTTTCTAAAAAATGTCGACATACATAACATTAATATCGGATTGACATGTTTTAAGTTATGAAAGTTTAAAATATTAGATCAGAGAAATAGGAAATTGTAATAAACTTCATATCCATTTTTAGATGATAAATTAATACTTCTTTACTCTTCTGGAAAAATTTTAAACTATTATAATCTCTTCTGCTTAATTTTGATCCCAACTATTTGGGGTCGACTTCCTTGTTGTAAATTTCTACTCGTCTCAATTTGCCACCTTGCATACACCGGCTGCCCTTGTTTCATTCTCAATCGTATCCAACTGTCTCTTTTTTGGTCTTCCTATCCCCCTGTTTCCCCTTAAATTTATTTTCATTACACTACTTCCTGCTTCTGAAACCTGAAACAACCCCAGTTGTCACCTCTTACAACAGTTACAAGTCAAAAATGATTTTAAGTTTAAGGAATAAAAGCATAAATTTAATATACTACTAAAATAAATCTTAAACGGTTGAAAAATTAGAAATCAAATTTACTTAAAATCCTCTGAAAAAAATTGCTGGTTTATGATAAATTAATCAACTTGCATATGTATATATATATATAACTTGTACAAAAAAAATATATTTATAATAGTCATCTGTATTTTATAGGAACATAAATTACCTCAAACATAAACTTTTAACACAGATAATAGTTAACATTTTCACAACAATTTGTTTATAATTTGTAATGGTGCAACAAAAATGGTTGCAAATTCCAAACCAGTAATACATGTATAAAAAAATAATAATTTAATCACTTATAAAAACCAAGTTGAATTATTGTTTGTAAATTTTAAAAGTAATTAATAATAAAATATTTGAACTTTTTTAAAAAGGTAGGTACTTTGAATAATTTTAAGTACACTTCACGATGGGCAAATATCTCGTTTTCCCGAAAATGATACAATAGACCTAATGCCTTTCATTGAAGTCTAAAATAAAAGTGAATAAAAAACAAAAAAATAATATTTTTAAGGTTATAAAAGGAAAAAGAAACAAAAAGAAAATTCAATATTGTTACCTTTTTCTTTGACGTATTTAAATATTCTTTATACATTTCTGATCTTATATACCTTTGATAGCTATCACTCTTCATTAAATGGTAAACATGAACCTGATTAATAAAATTTAACATAAGCATAATATAGCATTTTAATATTCTATGCTAACTAGTTTCTAACTAATGTTTGGGTTAATTATTTTCTGTTAATCATATCTTGAACACCATTCTTAATCTTACATAATGAAAATGTGCGATTACATACGGCAGCAATATCAAATGCCCATCTATCAGGAGCAGACATGTTCTTTCTGCTTAATTCCCTTGACTGAGAATCAATGTTTAATGAATCACCACTTAAATACTCAGTCCAAATTTCTTGGGCTGCTTCTGGAACTTCTCTTTGTGGTAATTTTTTGAGATTTTGTACTGCCTCCCAAAATCTTTTAGAAAAATGTATATATTTATATATACTATTTTACATATTGTAAATCATTTTTAAACAACAAAACAAATTCCAGAATTATTTCAAATTTTTAAAAATATAATTTGTTAAATAATTTTGTTTACTAAAAATTATTTAGATAATATTTTATATACATATTATAAATGTATTCTCACTTTAAATTTTCACAGCTAAATTCTTTTTCAAGAAATTTCGTGAAATGTTCCTTCCCCGCAGGATCAGCTAGAAGTTCTTTTAAACTAAACGCCCATCGTTTTATTCTACGTACGGTAACTTCTTTCCTGTAGCAAAACATAGAACTATTTTTTGAATTAAAAATGTTTCTTATATAAATACTAAACTTAATAAATGTTACGCACGAGTGTTTTTCACAATCCCATACTTCTATATTATCTAATAACCAAGGGTTGCTAATTTCTGGAGGCGTAAAAAAAGGATCATATTCTGCATACTGTTCGAAATAAGTTATATATCTATTGGAAAATTAAAACTGATGATAAATAACAAACTTTAAAATACATTTATTGTTTTATGAAATAAATTAACACTAACGTGTCTGCAATTTTTGAAAGCTTAATGTTACGCCTATCAAGTTTTAGGCGCATTGCAGTAATGTCTTTCTTTAATGATTCAACAGTTGGTTTATTAATTATTTTAATTGGAGGGGGAATAGGTAGTAAATTGTTAATGTCTCCATTCGGCAAAGTAGTTACATCTTTGTATCGCTTTAATTTTCTGTAATCGATTTCTGTTGTTATTATGGTACCGGGCTGTGAAAGAAATCCAAATTGTTAATGCAGGATGCATGTAGGTTTCAATTTAAGTATAATTTTAGGAACTACCATGGGTCTGTGTACATCCCAAAACGCACGTTCTTGACTATCTAATACTTTTCTTTCCATGCGATCTCGTTTTTTGTCAACTTTACTTTGAGCTTCCGCTTGTAAAAAAACAAATTCCCATTTTCGAGACAAAACTTTTTGAAGTTTTGCCAAGTTTTCAGCTTCATAATCAGCCAATTCCAACCGTTTTTTGTTTTGCATTGTTCTTTTGCAAAGATACACAGCTAAAAAAAATAATGTAAATACCTATTGTATTATATTATTTGACATTTTAATTTAAGATGAGTTAAATATTTATGTTATCACCAACATGGAATAAAATTTAAAAAAACATTTTTAAATAAATAAACTAAAATATTCTAATCTCTAATAATATAAAGAACCTAATATTTACATTATCTTACCGTAATCAGTGTTTTCGGGGTCAAATATGTTAGATGGCCAATAATATGGAGTCTGTAACACATAATTATTACCCGCTAGGTATATAAATAATAAAATGATGACGAATTCAAACATTTTATTGTCTTTTCTATAATTATATACTATTGATAAAGTTTTGAAATTTAATCACAAATATAAATGACGATTAAATAATTATAAAAAACTTGACAATTTCAAACACAGAAAATATCTAAAACTATACCACTAGTATTCGGTGAAATTAACCTGACATTTTCACCAAATCACAATCATTATAACATAAATATTCCCATTGTGCCAAGAGAAACTTTTTTTTTGCGGTCTACATTATTTAAGGGTCCGGGTGCTAGTTTTCAAATTTTAAAATTGTTTTGAAAATTTCAATTACCATCTTAAAAATATAATTTTCCAACTAGTATTAGTAGTAATAGTATCTACTCGAAACTCATTTAGAGGGAATAGGTGATGCCGTTTTTACTGATGAAAATGACTTCACGGAATAATGATTACTCATTTTCTTAAACATTTTTTTTTAATGATAAACAAAAATATTTTACAAGCCACATTGAACTTCGATTTTTTAATTCCGATTTCAAATAACAGAAAAAAAAAATTGGTAAAAAAAAGATTAAAATTAACTGTTTTTAAAGACTCATTATAATTGTTGAAAATAAAATATTGAAAAACGGAGTTCAATAAAATCTTAAGAATATTTACCTCTATTAAATATAAAAAAAAAAAAAATTTAAATTGTATTTTGCTGATTCTACTGAACAGTATTAGTATTTCCGTAGAGTATATTTTTGTGGGCAAAACAACATTGACACCGGGCGCCTTAAGAGGACGCTTTACCCGCATGTGCTGTCTCACTTCAACTAACGGGCGATATAGCAAAATCTACCTCACGCAGTCTGCATAGAACTCTCTTAATTTTGATCGGAAAGCAAGACAATGCGTTTTTTTTTTAAATTCATTCTTTAACGATGTATTAAACGTGATAACCATAATAATAATTAGATTAATAGGAAAAACACATCGTCTTGCCTTCCAGAATATTTTCCTATTTTAATTTTATAATAGTTACTTTTACGCTAAAACCAAAATTAAGCGAATTCTACACAGACTGCGTAAGGTAGATTTTGTTATATAGTCCGTTAGTTAGAGTGAGACAGCACATGCGGGTAAAGCGTCCTCCTAAGCAAATTACAAAGAAAATCAATAAACGATCTCAATTTTACTCGTCCATTGAAATAAGTTAAGAATTTGAAAAAGTTAAGAAACGACCTTTTTCGTTATAGCAGAGATATATTTCTTACTTGAAAACGATAATAAGATCCATCGTTCTTCACGTTTAAAAAATGATCGTCAATCGGGAACAAATAACCGTGGGAAGACAAAAGATTTGCGAGGTACAAGGCTTCGACTAGAATATTCAAAGTACATTAGTTTTATCTTATTAGACACTCGTCTACAACCATTTGAATCTAGGCTGGACTACTTTATTATATCATAGGTACCCAGCAGAACCGTTTCAGCTTTTAGCTTGTCACTTTCTATTGTCAATATTTAAAAATATTTTCATTCACGACTCATTATTACGGCCTATGCTATACTGTTGCCTCTGACAGCTTATATCAACTCAGTAAACACTATTTGACAACTTATCACAACTACTAAATCATATCTTGTGTTGTATTACAAAAAAAGTAGTCGATTATTCACTTACCCCGCCTGATCTTACCAGATTTGCCAAAATGTCTTTTATTATGTCCTACCGAGATATGTCCTGGTGGCCTAGTCCAACCTTGATTTGAATAATAGAGAGAACTAACAGAAATATAATATATTATGTTACCTTGATCATCGACATCCAAATTATTCATCATCCAAATAATCAAATCTGTACCTAAAAATATAAACGGCACGTTCGCCTTGAGTATTAATATTCGAGCAGCTATATCTACCCCCAAGGCCGGCTTGAAGGTGGTGTAAGCTAAGCACTTGCACAAAGCCCTGTGCTTTTAATGGCTCCACGTCTAGTAGCAATCATAATTAGATTGTAATTTCGCATGATTATTTAGGAAAATATAAATTAAAATCATTGAATTAATTAGAATTATATTGTAAAGATGTACCTACTATTGGTATAAGAAGGTGAAAACGTAAAAAAAGCTTATTTAAAGCCCTCGCAAAAATGATTGCACAGGGCCTCGATATTTTCCAAGCCGGTCCTGCCTATCTCTACTGAATACCCTCTCTAAATAAACGTGTGCAGGGGATTACCGGTAAATACAGACGGTACTTTGGCTCTAAATTTGTTAACCGTACGCACTCGGAGACCGATGTTCTCGTCCTGCATGCGGTCCATTAGCTGCTCCATCTGAAAGACGAAAACTGTAGAATATATCTTTGGTCCCAGGAAAGAAGAGCTTAAATTATATTTTTTCAGCCATACCGTGCCATTTTTATCCTGAGGCAGAGCTCTAGTAATGTGCCCCCTTAATTATATTAACTTACATAACTAGGGGGAGCCATCGGGAATGTGGTGGGTGGAGGAGGGTGACACACTCCCAGTTTTTAATAGTTTTTAATATGAGTCCGAAAAATCGGATCATCATAATTAGGTTTCGAGCAAAACAAGGAATACAATTTTTAGCTATAAATATATAATTTTCAATTATTTTTCTCCCACTTTTTTTGTTCGGGTGGTTCTTAACATAATCTAATATGTATATATTCTAAACTTCAGAGTGTATGTGTGTGTATACGTTGTTTTTATACAAATGTATATTTGTCTTTTATATCTACTTAAATTAAACAATTCTGATATCAAAACCAATATATTATTATATTATAGTAAACAAATCAATTTGAAAATTATAATCACAAATTATTAGATGGGTATTTCAAAATAATAGTAAAAAAAAAAAAAAAATGATTTAAAATAATTATTATTTATAACTGAATTTCCCTTTCTTTTGTGTTACAAATTTGTCAATAACAACGTCATAATCCTATTTATTAGCAATTTCCGTTTCTATTGAAAGTATGACCATGCTTGATATTCTCTTCTGAACCATTATAGATCTTAATTAAGTTTTTATTAATTCAAGGTTGCTGAAACTTCTTTCACATGAAGATATTGTGGCAGGCATTGAGAGAAAAATTCTTAATTATAGCTGTTTCAATATTTTGATAAGATTTTTTAAAGTTGTTTTCCATTCTTTAAACTTATTCTTTTGTAACAAATACAAAAACGTTACTGACTAAATACTTAGCAAAATTGATTAAGCTGCTTGTTTAAAATCTTTAATTTTTTCGACTATTTCCGCATTATTTAAATCTCCGTTATATTTTATTCCTAGATCAGCAGCTGCGTTTTACAAATCGTGTGAATTCATATTAGTTAATGAATGACAAGAAAAAAAATTCTAAATCGTTTGATATTCCCAAACATTTTTTCATACCGCTATGTCTGAGAAAGAAGAATATCTTTTGATTCAATAATGACAATTCAAAAATTCTGTTTTGCAGAAATATTTATCACACCATCATTGGTTTCATAAAGTTCTAATCTTTTTCTTTTTTTCTGTTCTTGGTTCCTTTAAAGTTGTCAATTTGTATAACTTTTCTGAAACTTTTGTAGCATTAGTAAAATTGTATTCCATAGTTGTGACGCGAATTTCCTGTAAAGAATTTTTTAAGTTTGAGTAGCAAATTGAAAACTTTTTTCGACGATAAACTTTAGTTTTGTAAAGCTTGATTAACACGATATATACTACTTAAAATTTGATCCCCAATATTGAATACAATATTTGAAAAAGTCAAAATTGAATTGTCGAAATTCATCATTCAAATACATCTTTTATTTGTGAGTTTAAGGACTTAAAAACGTGTGCTTTTGAAGCTCGTCTGGTATCTAAATGACCTTTCAATAAAATATTTAATATTTCCATTGAAATTTTCCATCGAGTAGTTGAATTGACAAAAAAGTATACATTTTCTGAATCACACTAATAAAAATTGTACCTTAATATTAGCTGATGTTGCATGTACGCCACTTAAGTCAAGGCAGTTAGCAGCGCATGGAATGAATGTAGATAAATGGATTTTATTTAATATGACCGCCTGAACGCCTTGATATTTTCCTGATACGTTAGCTCCATTAGCATACCCCTATCCTTTTACATTTTGTACATCAAGTTCATCAGCTTTTAATTTTGATAATATTTCGTGTGTGTATTATGTTTGATACTTGTTACGTTTATGACGTTTATGTATAATACTAAAGTATGATAATAAATGGCCAACATTTAAAATCCGATTATAGTGAGAGCCCTTTCAAATGTTAATAATCGATAAACGAGTAATCGATGAAAAGAAAAATTGTATATTTAAAATATAAAAGGAATCCGTAGACACATAAAATTATATCTACGGATCGGTGTGTTGTAATGAAAAATATTATATTGGTAATATTTTTTCTTAAGTTAATCATTTAATATTTTTGCGTCCCCCATCATCAAGCGCCCAAAGCAAGCGTCTCGCTCGCCTTACCATAGTTACGGATCTGTAATTCTGTTATAGTTTTATCTTTTACAGTTGTTTCCCCCTTTATGATCTAAAAGCATCAAGTGTGTCTATATTGTAACACATATACGTATACTATGCGTATACTTATAACTGCATAATACATCTAACACGCCTTGTACAGGAAATTGATATATCTTAAAAAAATCTTGATACATCTCTATGATGTACTTTTTGTTTGACAAAAAAGGCATATCAAATGTATTATATATATGTAGCAATTTAGCCATTTAGCCATTATCAAAATTTAATTTGCTTGTATTGCAAACTAAACAAAATTGACTAAAGCCCTTCCTTCCTGGTAGGTACCAAAGATACTAAATAAGGGTAATATGATTCATGATGATAGTGTTTACTTTTTTGTACACGATCTGGTGTTGCGTAACGTTGTCCAGGTCGGTCACGGAGGCCGCCGTGAGGGACACGGTCGGCGTGTCGCCCAGTTCATCAGCTTTTTGTTTCTTCCGTCGTGCAGACCGTTCCGAACCGATGATCGTCAGACTATAATACGGAACGAGGCAAAGAGGATATTATTACAATAATAGAACGACGAAAATGTGCAACAGATTATATTACACTCATGTTGAACGTTTTAGTCGTCAATTAATTGTATCATGAATGAGAAAGAAGAAATTCCATTCACCGATCATAATATTAAAAAAGCTGATACTGCCGTTTGGTATGCCTCTGGTTTTGGAGGGAAGTCGGAAGAGAGGATATAAGTTGTATAGAGTAATTTAATTTAAATCTGTACGTAACGATGAACCATTATTAACGAAAAACGATTCTGAATAAAGTATTATTATTTATCCAGCAAGGTTATTATATTATTGTTGGGACAAGAAAATTCGTTAACAACACAAAACGAAAAAAAAAAAACACATCATACATTCTTCGTTTTGCTTAGAATCGAAAACAATTAAATACGTACCTCTGTCCCATTGCTTTAAATATATAGGAACATAGTATCCCTATGTGTTTTAACAGATCATTGAACATCTATGACGCCCGTGTATAGTAACTACTGCGCTCATTAAGGACGAACGAACACGTCGTCGGGCACACAGTCGTTGGCGTTTTCGGGCGGCCGGCGTATCGGGCGGCAGTTACGAGTGTTCTGCATCGACTGCAGGCTGCAGCTGGCGCCTGGCTGGTATGCGTGCGACGGCGGCGGGACGGCCGCTGCCTAATGACGGCCGTGGGGCGCGGCGGTAGCGTAATCACGTACACGTCGTGTACGTATTGTGCCGACTCGGCGAGCGCGCGCGCGTTACACTGCCAGTGTCCCGTCCGGTGTCGTCGGCGGGACGACGGACGTCTAATTTTAAATCAATACTTACTCGTACGGGGTGTATGATGACGACGACGACGGGACGCCGCCGTCGGGCGTCATCCGCCGGTCGCCGTCGCTTCCAAGCTTCTCCCACGCAGACGACACGGTGTTTATTATTATTATTATTGTTATTATTCCGCGTTCGCGTGGTCTCCGAACGACGCGACGCGCGGGTCGGCCGCCGCAACATGATTCACCGGCGTCCGCCACGCGCGCGTCGTCGTCGCACGCATGACGCGTTATTGTTATTCTCTCGTCGAGTTTTTCATTACTTATTAACTCGCACATTTTTCGTTATTTAACTCAAGTCAACTGACAATTTCTACGTTTTTTTCTTCTGTTTATTATTGTTGTCGTAGCCGTCACGGCATCCATCATGTTAAACTTCGTCGATACGTCTTGTATTCAAATAGTGCGCGATGACGACCGGGCCGTTGACCGGACACCGTCGGTCCGATCTTCCCCGCGGAAACCCGAAGAAGACACATGGCTTCGTCTGGCATCAGGGTGAACCGAAAACTTCCCCCCACCTCTCTGTAGCGGCGGTGCTTCGCGGAAGAATATTTTTAGAGCACGTGCAGTTTACAAAAGTATATTCATTCACTTGCCCACACTTTTTTTTCGTTTGAAAATTACTCGCGTGACAATGCACACCTGCAGTAATCTACACCGATCTCCCTCGAAAGCGCACGTACCACTGGCGTATTTGAGATTACACCTCAGGGTGAATGATGTTAAGGAAGGTCAAACCCCATAGAAAAAAAATAAATAAAAACGACATAATTCGAACGATATGTGGGCCATTGATATAGTAGGTGAAAAGTTGGGTGAGCAGAGGAGAATTTAACGTATATCTGTATACAATGGTTAAGAAATGCCAACGAAAAACGATTCTGAGCGGAATTCGGTCATATATGATTTGAAAGGTCGTAATATTTACGATTTTCGTCAAAATTTGATACTAAAATTCTACATTACACCCAATTTTTTTATTTTTATCAGAAAGTACGACTTATAATGAACCTCTTGTTCAATTTTCGTGCATTTCTGTTTGATTTAACAATTTCATTCACAAATTACCTACAAAATAAAAATAGGTACGTTAAAAACGCGTAAAATTAAAATGTCTATAAACAGCTCAAATATTTTGAAAATTTTACCACATTTAGAAAAATCAAATTTAAGTTTTCTGTCAAAATATCAAGTTTCTACAAACATTTAAAACTATTTAATTTAATTATTTAAAAAAAAAAAAACTACAAATAAAATCAAAACATATTTAGAAAAGATGTTACACTTGAAATTCGGAGCAAAATTTTTGATAAAAATTGTGTGCAGTATAAAAAAACAAAATAAACATCATTGTAAAACCAATATATTACTCGCTTTGTTCAGAATCTAAAATTGTAAACATTTTTATTTATAAAATAAGATCTATGTTTTTTTTTATGTTTACAAATCTATATCAAGGATATCAATAATAAATTTAATACAGTTTATTTATAAATATTTAACAATGCCCAACCCGTTAAGTTATCCTGGCTCATTTTTGATCTCGGCCAAGTTTTTAACCTATTAACAAAATAGCAGATATGACTTATTTAAGAATATAAATAATAAGAAAGTGTTAAGTTGAATAGTGGATGTTAAGCGAGTAGTTACCAAAAAGAAAAATGAGAACATTGAACTATTACTGAACACTGAATTAAGAGTAATTAAATAATTAAGCATTTAAAACATGCATTACATTCCAAATAAAAAAGAAATTTGTTTCAAGGTTGTCAGTAAAGCATTACAAATATTTAAATATTAGTAGGTACCGACTTTTTACTTTTCACGTGCATTCAATTATTCAAATCTAAGCGCGGAAAAGCTATAAACGCAGATGATGTTATTAACATTATATGTTATAAAATGAAATTTTCTTTAAAAAAAAAATATATAATCTATTTATTAAATTTAGAAATGCTTATATTCAAAAACATAAAATATAACTTGCAAATATATCTCAGGGGAGGCGAATGCCCCTATTGCCCCCCTCAAATACGCTACTGACATGTACAATTGCATTATTTAGTAACCCATCTATGAGTGGAATTTAAAGAAAAAGCATGAATGATAGTACACAGTCTTTAGAACATTATAATAAATATTGATAAAATGTTTGTATTCTGATTAGTTCCCAATATTTCTATGCTGAATAACTAGTGTAGAAAATAGGACCACAGATAATAAAAGTATGGATAGGATATAAGAAGTTATGACAAGAAGATTTAGTGATACATTTTTAAGATTATATGGGGCAAATATCACTTCCTTTTTTTAAATTAAATTATAGTTTTTTTTTATCTATTATGATATTACTAAGTAAATATAACATTTACAATTGCGCAAGAAGCTGTTAATTGTTAATAATATGGTATACCTATTTCGATTTAGTGGTATATAAATATTTTCGTTTTAAATAAGTATTCTACCAAAGTTTACAAATACAAAATAATAGTGTAACACAAAGTAAGCTACTTTAAAACTCCCTATTTATAAGTCTGCGTAGTTATGAACATTAAAATTAACGAAAATATCTTCTAATTTTATTGAAGAACAATAATTTCACTTCCAGGTAAGTAAAACAATTTTAGGTTAATGACCGACGAATTTCTTTTTGGAACACTGTGCGGCGTGTTTCGCATGCCTTCTGTCGCTGTATCAACCAATTGGGGCCCTATATTTACGCTCAAAAACACTTTGGGACACTAGGGAAGTGTCAACCTATTATTAAATTTTTAGAAATAAATCAAATCTTAAACATTTTTGAAAAATACTTCTCATTTTACATGAATAAAATGTTAACATAAATTAAAAGTTTGATAAAAAAATCGAAAGACCGATATAATTAAATGTCCACAAAAAGTGTGCTTCTCCCCCTTGGAGAATGTCTGGATCCACCCCTGACACGTGCACTGAGCTCACTCATAAGCATATGCGTAGCCAGACTTTATTTCAGGGTAGGTATACAAGAAGTGTGTATACCATTGTAAGCTGTGGGGGCTTTACTTCCACGTCCCTTTAGTAGATGATGTACAATAATACAAGCATACAACAAAACAATATAGTTACTTCACTAAGCTCAAAGATATTTACTGTGCTAAATACTATAGTGAAATTGCATTGATTTACATTAGATAACATTGAATTCACTAGCTAAAAATTAATCGTAACCCGCTAAATATAACTCTGTTTTCCTCTTAACTCATTGATCTTACTCAGACCTAATAATTAATATGATACATAATACAAAATAAACAAAACAATTATATACCTAAGTTAAAATATTATAATTATTTTTTTCTTTTAGAAACTTTTCCATATAGAACACAATTTTAAAATATTTTACTAGGTAATAGTTACCTTAAACATATTAATAGTACTAGTACATAATTACTATTACAATAGAATTACTATACAATATTATCAATTTTATACAAATATACTCCTATATTTTCAAAAATAAGAACTAAATTAATACAAAAGAGAACTATCAATTAATAAAACCTCCCTGTGAGAGGTCACCAGAATACTTTCTCGGTAGTAGCATGGTTAAGGATTTTATTTGAGGCACGTGCCTCAATTTAAAAGTTGGTGGTGGTTCCTGGGGTGACGAGGTCCTCTCACATATAATATTTAAATAGATACAAAGCAAATCATTTTGGGTTACCAGACGTATAAACGTGTTTACTTATATCATGATAATATGATATTGAACAGTACGTCAGTACCAACTTATAGTACCAGCTGTAGACTGTAGTCCACTGACAATACGCGATAATAACACGCATTTTATAATATAAACAATACAGCGCATTACATTACAGCCTCACGTCCGGCTACTTGCACACAGTGGCAACGTAGCACAATATAATTTCCTTATTGACGCCTCCGACAAATATTGTTTCAATACACATGCACCCCACATGTATCACGGCAAATTATTATATTATATACCCACTAACTACGTGTTGACTAGCACTATCAACCTCCAGTGTATTTTATTCTATTATACCAGAAATATCACCCGACATTTATAATTTGTATAGGTATTATTTACTACTAATGTTTCCCTGCTCTTACATTTTACTCTATTACAAGTGGGTATAAAGTCACTTATCACAAATATTTCACTTTTAAATTTAGATAGGAGTAGTGTAGTGGTGCACTAATAAAATGTCGCATGCCACGTTGTGCCGCCATACAAATGATACTCCACCACTCTAAGGGGAGACCCTTAACTAAATTTAAAAGTGAAATATCTCGTCAACGGGTTGACGAAAATCAAAAATGTTAACACCTAAATTCATTTAAAGTATAGTACTTCATTTATTTATGGAATGTTTAATATAGGTTGTCATTTGAAAAACTAAAGTTGTCATCACCACAGGATTCTCCTTAAATGTTGTGAAAAATCTAAGTATTCGGAAATATCTGCTTTAATTACACTTAAAAATTCCAAAAATCAGAATTTGAATATATTCACAAATCAACCAAAAAAATGAGGTGAGCACGCTTATTGAATCACCATGTATAATCTTTAAATTGTCGTCAATATTAATTGTATCGTATAAAGTTTTTATTTTATTGGGTTTTAGATTATTCGAGTCCACCACGTTTAAAATATAACTATTTTACTTGCTTGTATTATAGCTGCCAAACTCCGCAGTGCTAAAGCAATATTCTTAAACTAAGTTTACATGTAGAAACTAAAAATGAATATTATGTTTTTGTTTACTTTATCATGCCTACGCTTCAAAATTGGAACCCAAACCAGCAATACAGATACCTAAGGTTAAACCAAAATGAACGCCCCGTCAAAGACACATTTAAAACCATTGGACCAATAAAAAGAAAATCTGAAGACGAGTAAACTGAAAAAAGAATGTTTTAAAACTGCAGTGCTATGTTTTATAAATATTATGAAAAAGTAAAGATGATATTATAAATTGAAATGATATATTTTAAATACGTATGTTTATTATTTTATTTCTAATGTATAGGTTAAATTTTAAAATATACCAAAAAGCATACAATTTTACCATTTTTTATCTGTAATTTGATATTATATTTTGAGATCGTGGTTTTATTTCTATAGATAAGACTTAATTAAATCAAATGCGTGGTTGACAAAAATCCTTAGAATAAACCCTGTGATCAATTATGAAAACTGGTTTAAAAATTAAAAAATGCCTTACTCACCAACTAGATTTAAATATATAAGTGCATTTAATATGTATGTAATAGCGTTCGATAACTGATATAATAAATGTCAAAATAAAATAAATAAATAAATACGTGTTCATAATGTTTTTTTTTCCAATATTACTTAAAAGGCTTCACGTACACGGGCGTCATTTAAACGAATCACTATATTTTACACCATCTTGCATCTCGTTTGTTGACAAGTGTAATGATAATTATAATAATAATATGCTTTTCCTGCAGATGTACATTATTTATATTGCCAATATAATATGTAAAATGTCATCGTTCTACACGTCGGACGCACTATCGTCTGCAGATGCTTTAGGTTTTTATACACATTTCCATCGATCCTCATTTCACCCCGGTTACATTGTCGTATACCCCTATACAACTTTATATTAGTTTTCTTTCTTGCAAAGTTATAATCAATCGCCTTTAGTTTCCTTTAAGACAAAAAAATGGACATATTTGCACGATGGGTGGGCCGATGTCGTAGGTGAGAAGTTGGGAAGATATGATATTGAGGGATTTTTAATATATGTCTGTATGGGACAATTAATAATTGCTAACGAAGAACGATTCTGGTTGGAGTTCACGATTATATATGTTTTAAAAGGCCGTAATATTTACGATTTGCGTCAACATTTGATATTAAAATTCTTATAAAAAGAAAAAACACTTCTTTAAATTCAAATTTTTTATATTGACTACTAAGTAAAATGTATCAAGAACATCCTGTTAATTTTCAAGTATTTCTGTTTGGCCAAACAATTATTATATCCACATAGTGCCTACCTGCAAAAAAAACTATATAAAAACTCTTAAAGTTGCAAATATAAAATGCCTATAAATAGCACAAACATTTTCAAAATATTTTTAATATTTTACCACATCTAGAAAATGCCAATATATTTTTATTTTAAAATGTCAAATATCTACGAATTTTCAACTGAAATACAACAAAAACCCAAAATTTAAGATAATGGAACAATTATTTTCCTGAACTTTTTCCGTTCTTTCTACGTATTTTCCTTGTTTGGCTCAATGATTAAAAAATACTATATGGAAAATTAAAAAACGATTTTCTTATTGACCAACTAAATCCAAAATACAACAAAAACAGATCTCTTGTCATTTTTTGATTGAAGCAAGATTTTACAGTCTGAAAAAAGATAACAGTAAAACCAATAGATTTTTAGATTGATTTTCAAAACTAAAAAAAATATATCACTCTCGATTACACAATAACATCGTTGTTCAAGTTATACTACGTATATATACGTAAAATGTTCTTTTGTCTTGAGCATATAATACATACATATGCTGTATAGATTTTTTTGTGAAACCCTTGCATAAACCATTTTAAAATCATTTTCTTTTCTTTCAGCAATACATAATAAAAATGTCTTTTAATCATTTCTTCTGAAAAACTCAATACAAATAAAATGTATTTAATTATTTGCTTAATATAATACCACCACTATATTATATTATACTCGTTTCGTCGTTTGAATTCGATATTCATTATAAATACATGCGCAATGCCCTATAAAAACGTCACGAATGTAATTTTCAGTATGACGGACATCACGAAGAAGAATTTGAGTGCCAGCGTTTTTAAACATAAAAACGGCGTATCGAAAATTTATTTTATTATCTCATAATGAATAAGGGTTTTTTTTTTTAATCGTAAAAATGTAATACATAATTTTCTTTATTACCTACATATAACTATGATGCTTCATAACATTATATTGTTTATATAAGCAGGAACATATTAAACCCATATAATATGCATACTTGTACGGCAGAAACGTATCCAGGGGGATATCCGCGGATTCCGGACTCTACCCCCTCAAAAATCGACCTACAATTTTTTATTTATATTTATATATACTTTAGTATAGTAAAAAATACTAAATACAATTAGTTAGATACGCATAACTACACCTACATAAGAACCAAACTATATAAAAATCGCGTTTCCGTGGATGAGGTTATATTTATGTAATATTTTCAAGTACAAAGTTAATAATACGTTTAATAAGATGAGTTAAGATTGTATAATAATTTATCGCCGTACTCATATCGCGTATCCTATGCAAAGTAAGTATTAGTTACTTAACTATATCGTCATACAAACATGTACTTGCCTGTTTTATCAAAAGACCCGTTGGGTGTAATATAGCAAAAACGAAAACAAAATGTTTATTTTATTAAATTATAACTATACCGTCTATACCTATATTAAACCTATTATAGTTCTTCTTATTAATTATATTTTTACGTTATTATAATACAATAGTTATTACCTTATACCTACATTTTATTAAATAACAAACGATGTTTTTTTTTTTTATTATTAAAAAAAAATACTAAATTTAGTGAAATTTTTTGTTTAACACAAATTACGTTTTTTTAATGAACCTCCTGTTAAATTTTCAAGCATTATTTCTATTTAGTCAAACAATTTTGTCACAGAGTACCTATTGAATAAAAATTACGTACTCACTGTTTTTCTTACGTTTTATCATAGGTTTTCCCAAATATTATGAAAACCGCTTGGAAAATCAAAAAATGACCTCCTTAAAGTACCATAAAGATAATATTTCCTTTCAGAAATGATGTCACACGAACGTATCTGTGCAAGATTTCTTGTATTTGTTTCGTACCCAGTATAAAAAATGAAAAAATAAACATCTTTATAAAACCAATACATTCTTCACTATACTCAGAATATAAAAAAATAATATTCATTGTACATTTGCACTACTTATTCAACTAAGTACAAACAATTGTACCTATTATTATGATATATAATTATGAGTTTTGTAAATGATTTTTTTTCGTCGGGATTTTTAGTTTGGCCCCCTTCATTAAAAAATTTGTTTTTACACAACTGCACATATCAGATTAAAAGATTCCCGTGTTCCTTCTGATAAATAACAGCAGTGCATTAGTAATTTTAATAGTTCTATATCATTATTCAATGATCAATAATTTTCTTTCATCATTTAACAATCGGAAATTGAGATTTGAGAACTCGTATTTTGTTCGTAAAAAGTAGGTATAATCAAATAATATTACGTACCTACCCATATTTTTATCGTCACCATAATAATAATAATTCATATTATTTTATGCTCACTGGATAAATGTGTGGTTCTGGTACGCGCATGTATATTCAATGGCCTAGGAAAGAATTACTGAGATTTAAAAATATAACCGGTGGCGGTGGTGTGATGTCATCAAAATGCGTGTACATTAAAAATGTAAAAAACGTTCAGACAAACTTCATTGGAAGTTATGGGGGAAAACTTTAAAAAGTATGGTGTTTTTGTTGCTTGTATTTCTTAGTAAGAGTTAAATATTTTCAAAAATGATTTCCTAAATCTGTGGATTTTTAATGCTTAATCTAGGTACCTATTGGTGTAACTAAAATTTACCAACCATACTTATTTTTATAACTTTTGAATATAATCCTTGAAAAAGAATTATTTTTTAATGCCGATTCAATGCAGGTTTAATTTTTCGTTTCCTTGTAGTTCTACCTGATGTGGTTTTACATAACAAATCGGAGTTCATTTTCGATTTTTTCGTTTAATACAGAGACATACCTATTAAGAAACTCGTCTTCTTCACATTTTAACATGTTTATGTTTTAATATAATATTATAGCGATAGAAGTGGTAGGTACCAACATTTATAGATGTTCTATCGCAGACGGCAGCGTTTCTCAACCTTTTGTGTAGTTCCAGTGGCACTGAAATCAGCAGTCAAGGGTAGCGGGCGCTACCTTTCTTTTAATGGGTGAGTGGTTAATCTGGTGGTGAATATATAATGGGTACCTGAGCCATATTTTTTATCGAATTGATACGTATGGAATATTAATTAAGAGTGTTGTATGGGAGTTTGTTATGTATAAGAGGGTGGTGGTCTATTATACAACATGTTTTAACCTGCCCACCTTCTTATTGAAACATGGTTCGGTGCTACTGGGTTGGTACAATATTTTAAAAGATAAAGAAAAAATTTGATTTAATGATTTTATTATAAAAGAAATCCATTTTTAATGGTTTGAAAGTAAAATAAATTAAAAATCTGAAATACGATTTTTAGGATGACCGTCCCTTGTCCTTTGCAGATTATTATTGTTTTTGAAATAGTTAGCGCCATCTGTTGTTATTTTGGTTACATTATTGTACCATCGACTGATAACACGCAAACTGTTTTAATCAGGCATCAGCTCCCATAACATTTCCTCGTTTAATTTTTACCGGCAATATTCAATTGATTGATTAAGATTAGAAAATCACCAGTTTCCAATTGGAAAACGAAACGATTTTACGACAATGATCGAGCCTGAGTTGTTTAATTTCAAACCGTCCTTAAAAAAACACATATACGTGAAGAAACGATGGGATAAAATATTATCAGACATTGATGGATACGGACTAACTCATTCTGTAAGTTTATTTTCATCGTTGAATGGTTCAGTTTTATTACACTCACTAACATCTAATTATATTAAATTATTTCTAGATTTCTATCGTTTTGCCAGACACACTTTTTATTCCTGACCATATCAACAACATATTTTCAGAAAATGATCATTATTACCTGATTAAAAACGTTACATTGTGTTCATTGATTGATCCTGGATTCATAACATCTTTTGTTAAAAATGGTATGTATATTTAGCTTTAGTTCAATGGATAGTTTTTTATTTTTTTTATTTTTGCAGGTAAAGTTTATGCAATCTCTCTGAATACTAATGTTGATGTGGATGACTGCATTTCAATAACAAACTGTAATTTATTACAAATGTCTTTAACTCATTCATCTTGCCAGTATATGTGTTTACCATCAAAAGACTCAAGTGTGTATATTTGGTGACAATATATTGATAGTGACATGGTAAAAGGGTCTAAGTGACACAATTCATAGTTTTCAGGAAAGTCAAAAAACATTTGTGATTTTACCTTTTTTAATTTTTCAGTTGAAATAGGGTATTTTTTCATTAAATAGTTTACTTTTTGTTTGAACATACTTGATATTAATACACATTGTTGATTAGATTTTATTGCCGTTTAGACTCTACAATTGAGAAGATAAAATAAAAAGTGTCATTTATATCTCAAACTTAAAATTCAAATCATTTGTTAAATAATGGTCATAGCTGTTTTTGGGAACACTAAAAGGCTGAAACACTGATTCTCCAATCAATAGTGAAGCCATGTTACGTAGACACAAAGTGCCGCTTAGGTCCTTTTGCTGTGTCACCATTGATATTATAATTAATAATATATTATTTACCTAAGAACTTTATTGTTGATATTTTTTTTTAATATTATTCATGATATCACTTAATTTATTTGAAGAAATTACATTGGATCTAAAAGAACTAAAATTTTGTACAAAATCTTATCAGCGTTTAAATGAGTGTTTTCAACGTTACCAAAACAAATTTGAACTACTTATTTGCTGGGAATCCAATGGTAAGTTTTTCTTTCGCCATATTTGTATGATATTCATTTTTTGTTTAAATATATTTTAGATGATGATGTGTGCCCTTCATCAATAGCATCATACTTCAGTAAAAAAGGGTTTGACTGTCAAGAGTGTTTCCCTCGATTAACCACAGAGAGAAAGTATAATATGACTATACCGAAGGGTGATGATATTGCATTATTAGATACTTGGTTGTCATATTTTTGTTTAGGCATTCATATGTAAGATACAATTGTATTTTTCTTTTTTTTAATTTTATAATTATTAGTTCGATTTTAAATTGTAGTTTTATAAATAATTTGCATTAGGTATTCATTGTTATATTAATATTTAATTTGTATTATACATTGATTATTGATACTAAAATGTACTTACATAAGTATTTTTTAATTTAATTTTTATGTATGTAGATTTGCTATAAATGTTTTATTTTATTAATGAAATTTATTAAGGTTTAGGAACAATTATTTAACTATACAATAATAGTAGGTAGTTAAATTGATTTATTTTTATTTTTCAAGTGATAATAAAACATTGTGTGTTTTGCCCAATGGAAAATTAACAAAATCAAATTCCTGCGATGTCGGACAAGTAACTCAAATTATTTGGATGGGTTTTTTTAACAATGACAAAGTTAAACTTTTGTTAGAAAAGTTTAGGTAAATATTTGAAAACTATATAATATTTTAATGAACTATTATTAATTGTGTTTATGATATTAACTATTTTTAACTGCAGGGATTTTAAGGAAAAAGAAAACAAGTCATACTGGCTGGCAATACATTTAGAGTCATTTTCAAATTCACCCTATCCTTGTGGTCATCGGACAATTGTATTGAATTCTCTAGATACATATTTTGTTTCTAATTGTATAAATTGTAAAAAATTTTAATTTTAATTTGTTTGATATATTGTTCCACATAATATCATGGAGTAATAAATAATATTGTGATAATACTTTTGTTTTGATACCTGCTATCAATTTGTTCAAAAATGTCAAAACAAAATTCTGGTTTAAAATTTTGTGTTTTCATATTTTCGTATTTTAAATAATTAATTTTTTTGTAAAATTTAAAAATGCCTCTTATATTAATGGTCGGTTTACCTAGTAGTGGCAAGACAACTAGGGCTCGTGAGATTCAAAAATACTTCACTGAACAACAACATAGACAAGTTGTTTTAATATCAGATAATGAGTTAATATTACAATTGAATACAGACAAGAATGTTTTATTTTTAGGTATACACTATTTTATTTTACAGTTAAACTAAACATTAGTATAATATAAAACACAGATTAGTGAAATCTGCTAAATTCAGTTGAGCTTTAAAACCACAACATTTTAATGATAACATAGCATTTTGTATTGGATGTGTTTGATACAAAGATCATCTAAACTTGATCCAGTTATGAACAATTTTTAATTAAAATGTTTTAATAAAATTATAAAAGTAAAAACAAAATTATTAAAATGCTTAATACTCGTAAATAAATATATGTATAAAAATAAAAGAATGAATGTATCGCATGGAGTATTATAATTGTATTACATGATCGGTTTTGAATTAAAAATTTATCATCAGGTATATTACAGTCAAAATTTAAAACGCGACTGAGTTGTAATTAATTTTTAATTTGAAACTGATCATATAATACCTACACTTATCATAATACTCCAGGCAACATATTCATTCTTTTATTTTTTATTTTTATATTTTTTACTTTTACATTTTTATTTATATATTTATTTACTATATTTAAAATGTTTTATTAACTAAATATTATACTTTGAATTTTTGTATGATTTAACTTTAATTTATAGAGATGAAAAAAGAAAAACAACTTCGCTCAAAATTACACTCTGATGCCTTAAAGTTAGTTTGTAATTGTATTATATTAAATATTTCATTTATAAGTTTTTGAATAACATAATTGTTTTTAGGAATTTGACCAAAGAAAATGTTGTGATATTGGATTCTGGAAATTTTATTAAAGGTATTCATTGTTTTGACTTTATATGTTGCTTATGTAGTCCATTTAAAATTATTTAAATTTGTTTGGTTTTATTATTAGGTTTTAGGTATGAATTGTATTGTTCTTCTAAAAGTTTAAGTACACCAAAGTGTTTAGTTGTTTGTGATATTTCACCAGAAAGAGCTTGGGAACTAAATGAAAACAGAGCAGAAAATGAAAGGTATACTAGAAAGACATTTGATGATCTTGTTATGAGATATGAAGAACCAAATCATTCAAATAGGTTTGTTGAATAAAATTAATTTTAAAATGCACAATTTAAATAGGTACCTATGAATGTTGTTGTAGGTGGGATTCGCCTTTGATAAATTTACAGTTGAATGATACATTACCGGCTGAAGAAATTAGAAAAGCAATTTTTGAAGTTGCTGCTCCTGTACCAAATCAATCAACAATAAATGTAAGAGTAACAAATATATTTGGTAGAATTACAATTTATCATCAATTTTTAATTTGATTATCCAAGTAAATATACAACCAAGATTTTGCTGGTATTTGAGTACAATTTTTAAAACTATCACTGTAGTCTGTTCTTAGAGCAGGTCTAAAATAATTTGTTTTTATTTCTGATCGATATAGTTGCCAATAATCTTTAGTAAACTGGCAATACATTTCTTCAATACAATCTATAGGCATTGGAATATTTTTAACACGTAATAGTACTACCTAGCTTTTAGGTAGATTTCATTTTATGTTTTTACCATTATTAATTAATGTTATTTGTTTCATTTATAATTAAAAGGAAATCACATTTTACATGCATAATAAAACAGTTTCACATAAATGGAGTTCACCATATACCTCAATTACCCCAATTAACAACAATATTGTTATTATATAACTCGCATAATATTATTATTTATTATTATAATGTTACTTAAGTGGTCTATATTTATTAAACCCAACAGGCTCCACTAAATTCAAGTTCATATTTGTATGATTTAGATCAGAAAACACAAGAAATAATTAATGTAAGTATTGATTATACATACACAATATAGTATTATATATTTCAACCAATGTTAAATTAAACTATGATAATTATTAACATTATAGTTATATTGTATTTTTTTGTTTTGCTTATGACAGTCAATTATTAAGTTGAAAAAACAAGGGATAGAAGGAAAATCCATTGAACTCCCTGATTTTGAAGGAAAATATTTAACCAAGTTGGACAACAGTGTATCTTTAGTGCAACTCGCCAAGTCTAGAAAACAATTTTTATCTTATGCCAAGAGCCACGCGTCAACTACAAATGACCAAACAAATGTTGTGAACATGTTTATACAATTTCTTAATAATACTGTCACATGTTGAACAATATTAACAGTATAAGTATATTAAAAAAATTAATATAAAATATCTTACTATTATACTTATACAGGAATAAAATTAAAACAAGACCAGTTTACAATGGTTTTAATTAAAGTAATTGAGGGTTTATTACTTTGTATACCTGTAGTATGTTTTGCATATTATATTAGTAAAATGTACATTACTTTAAAAACATTTTCTTACTGTTTTAATAAGTTTCTATGTAAACTCTACTAAAAGCAGTAAAAATACTAATGTGACCCTGCAGGCTGGTTTAATGCTAAGGTGACTCTTGCAGTTGTATCTAGGTTCGATTTTCATAGTGCAAGTGCACCACAACATTATTTAAACTAATATATTTAATTTTTGATTGTATTATAAATGAATTTATGTATAAAAATATTAGCATAAACAAATTTGATAACGCAGTATCTTGATTATCTGCTACACGAATGCTATTATTTGTTACCTATACAAATATTATTTGTAAAATAATAAATTAACAAATATTATAATTATATAATGCTGCATATACTACTTAGAAAAAAAAAAAAATGGTATGGGCTAGGGTTGAACGTTGAAACCTACAATAGGCACATCCTTGGTACTAACGTCATGGTGCATACAAAATTTAATTTTCCTGGATTCACTCTGGGGGTCTATAGGCAGGACTGTGCCTAAAGTGTGCTATGACCACAGGGGTGCCAATGAAAGTTTTGAAATTCTGTAATTGAATATTTTTACAATAAACATGTGAATGCCCAACAGACAGATTTAGCTATTTTTTTGCTCATTGGTAAATTTTTCTGACAGCAGGTGCCGATTTTAATAGGCACGGAACTGTTTTTAAGGTTATTCAAAATTTAAAAAAAAAAAAAAATCTTTTTGCAACATGATTAATATAATATAATGTAATTACATTTGCATAGTTTCATTTTATATCATAAGATAAAAAAGCAGTTTTATTAAAATAATTAGGTACTGCTATTGTATCTACAATACTTCAACATTTTTCAAATTGAATTTGAGTAATCCGACTAGAGTAAGTATTAAAATATTTTCAAGCATTTTATTTTTTAAGGGAGTTTATAATAATTGCTCATTATAATATACTATTGTGTGTAAAATAAAAAATAAATCACTCGGCCCTAATAAAAATAAATGTTTTCATTTGATTAAATCAACCAGATAGTTATCTAATTTAAAAAAAATAAAAACTTTTGGATGAAAACGAAGTTTCCAGAGCAAACAACACGCAGGTATAAACATAAATAATTTTATGACAGCAGACGATTTCATGTTGTAATTGAAACAAAACAAGGCAATATTATGTATGTACTACGAAGTAGTCACGTTTGTGTAATCTGGGGGAACAGAACCCTTTTTTTTATATTGTCGAGTTTTTAATTGAACATTAATTAATCTCGTATGGTAAAATCCGTCGAATTAATTTGCATCGACTTGTTACACCCTCGATAACTAAAATAATACCACAGATTTAATACGATACTAATCGACTCCTGTGGTTCAATTATACTAAATTAATCTACTAATAGAATCTGTCGGATTTCCATGAATCGTGCGTTAATCGAATATTGGACACGTAGGTGGGTAGTGAGAACTGCCAAATTACCTAATCTACTTAATATTAAAACGTTTTTCCTACAAATAATGTGAGACGAGCCAGAGGATTTATCGACTTCAAAATAGGTTAGGTAAGATAGATGGATAACCTAGGTAGGTACCTATCTATACCAGAGACGAACATAATTTCGAGAAATATTCGGCGAGTAGGTACAAGAACTTGTTTAATTTTACGAAAGCAGTCACTCCGAAATATAGGTAGGTATTAGTGTACCTCGATAAGTCTAAGTTTATGGGGAAGGTTTAGGTGTTTTTAGAATAATCGGAAATGTTTGAAAATGCGCATTGATTTCGTTCGACAATATTGAAATATATTCACGAAAAAAAAAAAAACCGAGATTGACATTATAACAATAAAAAATAATCGAAAATTCGATCGTCGTTGAATGAAATATAATTAATATGGCTTTTTTTTATGCTATATGCAAATTCGTGTTTGAACATCGCCGATTAGTACCGAACGTCGTCGCTAAAAGTGCTCACGTCGCATCCGGCAACGCGGCGGTAGAACCGATAACAAGTTTCACCCTCCACTACAACAGTTCAATGATTTGAATGGTTTTTAAATTTTCATCAGTTCTCGAGTTCACTCCTTGTGTTGTGAACGTTTCTTATCGCCGTTTAGTTTGTAGTAGACCTTTTCACCCGTTACTCAACCTGTTGCCTACATCGTAATTAAAGTACCTATCTACAATATTTTTGTAATATCCAAAAGTACCTACATAGGTAGGTTAATCATTATTTTTTTTTAGATTCTGTGATGCCTTCTGTATACCTGTGTACCTATTATAATTAATGTATTTAATTTGTCAACAGTTAAATATTCTGCTACGAGTGATTTAATTGTCGTTGGAAAATATGATCCGGTCTAACATGTTAAAAGTAATTATGTTTACATGCTCAATCGGTGAAATAAAACACTGTTAGACAATTTAAACAAAACACTCAACGGTCACCTACAAAAATGTAGTGTTTCGTTTATATGCTATAATAATAAAATTTATCTACTAAATTAAGTAGGTACCCAGAGTTAATTTAATTATATAAATCAATTAGGTAGTTTTATTTTTTTTTTTACCTAGATGGTAGCACTTAATCAATTTATTGCAAGTTTTTTTTTTCATTGTGATTCTTTCAATTGCTCGTTTAATTACATGCATATATTTATATGTCACTTGGCATTTACAATTATAATATTAATCTTAATTATATACATGTTTATAATTAATGTTTGATATTTACTAGTACCTACCTAGGTAATTAATACATTAGAAATGTAGGTATGCAAAATTACATGTTCATTATTACTTACCTACCATTTTTATATTGCTTAAAACTTAAAAGTGATTATAATTTTGTATAACTGAATTCTATTGATAAGTTAATATATTTTATTTTTATTATTATTGGGAAAGGAACCTTTAGACATAACCTGTACCTGTATAATTATAATATATATATACTACATTGACTTAATAATGCGATACAAATATTCATATATAAATTAATTAGAAGATTATTTTGAATGTATATGTAGGTAATTAAAAACATTCTGAAAGGGAAAAAACTAAATAATTGTTAGGTAGGTAGGTAGGTGTTAATTTACAATGTAGATAAAACACACAGATTAACAGATTCAATTTTATACAAATATACAGGGTGTCCTACAGTGTTATCCTTATACTAATAATTTGTCAATATTATTTTTGTTTTCATCATGTTTTGTGCAAGGAGGGCACATATGAAGAGAAAAATTAAATTTTTATTTTCATCCCTTGGTCATTGAAAAAGATTTATTTTTCCACATTTTCAAAATAGCCATTTAGTAAAATAGGTATTTAAAAATTTGAATGTAACACATTCAAATTTTTATAATAATATCTTTTTCAAAATAGTTAAAATGAAACATTTTGAAACGTGATTAAATACAAATTTATACTTTTGAGTGATTAAGAGATAAGAAAAAAAATGAATATTGACATATAGCATAAGGATAACATTGTAGAGCACTCTGTTGCCAATTATTTAATATTTATACCTAATCTAAATATCAGTAGGTATGTATATGAATCCAAATTATTCTTAATCTTAACATTTGTACATTATAATTATTTATATCATTTATAGCTTTAGTATCTAATACTGATTTTATCTTATCCATATTAGATCATAGGTTACACATTATTATACAAATACACGTGTTAAAAAAATCTAAAATAAAAATAACAATTTTTCGATTTTGTTATTTTTTTTTAATACATTTTAAATAGGTAACTAATTGATTAATATATAGGTATAACAATATGCAAGGGTTAAAGCTATAGAGATATAAGTCAAGTTTTCATTGAAATTGACTCAAGTGCTTTACATACTTATTAAGGGCCAATTGTTGTTCGATAGGCAAAGTGAATTAAGTCATAACTAATAATCACTGAAATTAGATGGTAGCACAATATTTGTGTAAAAACAAACTGGCTGTTTTGTTAATTTTAAACTTCAAAATTAATGTGACTTACAATACCATAGCTTTAACCCCCATCTTAGTGCAGTCTACATCAATATTTTCCAAATGATTTGGTTTTTAGTTTATCTTTAGTATTAATGTATATTGTATTATAATTACTTTGACATTAGTATAAAATGTTTAAATTATAAAAAATTGTAAATATTCATAAATATTTTGTTAATGTAATTGAATTTGGTTTAAGTTTACTAATGTAAAAAAAAAAATTGAATTTAATGATATTTTTATTACAGAAAAATTTGTTTCAACACGTAATTAGATTCAACTCAACATGCAGTGCCATTCCAAAAGTTCCTATGTACATAGATGGAAAGTTTGTCGAATCAAAATCAAATGATTGGATTGATGTCCATAATCCTGCCACAAATGAAGTGGGTTTATTAATTTTATTTAAATTGAAAATAAAATAGACTTATAGTATCTCTGTAATTATATTTCACTTAATTAAATAACTATCCTAGGTTTTATGCAAAGTACCAAAATGTACACAAGACGAGATGGAACATGCAGTGGATTCATCCATAGCTGCTTTTAAATCATGGTCAAAAACTTCTGTGATGAGAAGACAACAAATAATGTTTCGTTATCAAGAAATTATTAAAGCTAATATGGTAAATTTATTTTATTGACAGCAACATTTGTGTATATTTTTCAAATATCGTTTATTGGATTTTAGAAAAAATTATCCCAAAATATAACCCAGGAACAAGGAAAAACATTGATTGATGCCGAAGGAGATGTAACTCGTGGACTCCGTAAGATTTGTGACTCATTAATATAATTTAACTTTTAATATCATCATTATTCTTATATTTATCGTCATATAACTACTTTTTATTGTTTAGAGGTAGTTGAAAATTGTTGCAACTTTACCAGCTCAATAATGGGCGAATCATTACCATTAGTAGCTACTGACATGGACATACATTCTTATCGTGAGCCACTTGGTGTTACAGCTGGTATTGCACCATTTAATTTTCCTGCAATGATACCTTTATGGATGTTTCCTGTAGCCATTTCGTGTGGTAACACGTTTGTCATTAAGGTAAGTCGATGGATTATTAATTTAATCGAAAATTGTTAGGATAGAATTGATAATCTGAATATTATATTTTGAATAATTATGAGAAACATTTATTTATTTTGAATTCTCAGACCTTTATATTATACTTACAAAGTTTCCAAGGACAACAATTATTGTATGCTTCTAGATTATTTTAATTTTATTACATGTTTCAGCCTTCAGAAAGAGTACCTGGTAATTGTATGATGCTTGTTGAAATGTTGTCTGAAGCTGGTTGCCCGCCTGGAGTTGTCAATGTTATTCATGGTAGTGTGGACACTGTGAATTTTATCTGTGATGCACCAGCCATTAAAGCAATCTCATTTGTTGGCGCTAATCCTGCGGTAATTAAATATTCAGTAAAATTTGAAGTAGCATTGCATATATATGATAGCTTATATAAAGTATTTACTTTTTGTGAATAGGGTGAACATATATTCACCCGAGGTTCTAAAAATGGTAAAAGAGTTCAAAGTAATATGGGTGCCAAAAATCATGGGGTGATAATGCCAGACGCAAACAAAACTAGTATGTTAAATGCATTGGTTGGAGCTGCGTTTGGAGCAGCTGGACAACGATGCATGGCATTAAGTACAGCGGTGTTTGTAGGTGATGCTAAGAATTGGTTACCAGAGTTAAAGAGTCGTGCTGAAAATTTAATAGTCAATGCTGGTATTTTTTTTATATTTGTTATTATTTATGTGTTTACTTCTATAATGAGATTGTTTTTTAATAATTGTTGTCAATCTTTATATTTAAGGTCATGAACCCAATAGTGATGTGGGCCCAGTTATATCGCCAGCTGCAAAAAATAAAATTCTCAATTTAATTCAATCTGGCATTGATGAAGGAGCTAAGATTCTTTTGGATGGAAGGAATATTAGTGTGCCTGGCTATGAAAAAGGAAATTTTGTAGGACCAACTATTCTTGCAGATGTAAAGGTATTACTTTATTACAATATTATTGTAAAATGTTTAGGTGTTTTGAATGATTATTTTAGAGTTTGTTGGTATAAAACTTTTTATTTTATTGCATACAGCCTCATATGAAATGTTATACAGAAGAAATATTTGGACCAGTACTCGTGTGCTTGACTGCTGATACTCTAGATGAAGCTTTAAATATAATTAATTCGAATCCATATGGTAATGGTACAGCTATATTTACCTCGAATGGGGCTACAGCTAGAAAGTTTACTCACGAAGTCCAATGTGGTAATGTAAGTATATTGTTTTAATATGATTTAATAATTGATTTAATATGTTATTACATGTTTACAATATTTTGTTTAGGTTGGTATCAATGTTCCCATACCAGTACCTTTGCCAATGTTTTCATTTACTGGAACACGAGCTTCATTTTTAGGGCAAAACCATTTCTATGGAAAACAAGTATGTGTTCTTGATATTGACTAAACTTGTTTAGTTTACATGTTTCTTACAAATACAATGTTATTAAGGGCTTTAACTTCTACACGGAATTGAAAACTGTTACCCAACTTTGGAAAGAATCTGATGCCACTGATACCAAAGCAACAGTTTCTATGCCTGTGATGCGATGAGCTCTCTTGAAAGTAAGGCTGATAATTTGTTCTTGTTTTTTGTAATTATATTATTATTGTTTTTTAAAAAAAGGAAAATGTATAGTATATTTTTCAACTAACATGAAAAATAATTTGTGATACCAATGGTTTTTATATTATATAGTTTTAAAAGAAAAATGTTAATAGTGTTTTTTTGAAATAAAATATTTATTTCTTATATGTTATGGTGAAGGAAAATGATTCTTATCATTTGAAATTGAACTACAGTTAGATAAAACAAAATTATTATGGACTTAGACTTGAAAATATTGATACAGATATTATAGATTTATTTAGATTATATATTTGAGTAATTGAACAAATGTTTGTGTTCAGATACAGATACTTATAAAAAATTATTTAAAATTGTACAGTTTCAATGTAGTATCTAAAACCTACTATGAAAATAAATCATGATTTATTAATAGTTTCAAAGAATAGCCACGTTAAAAACCATTTTTTGGAAACAGTATAGTTACTAATACCTATTTACGGTTGTTGATTTGGCTGATAAGGTTATAACTATATATAATATGCACAGATATATGTATATATATATATATATATATATATATATATATATACATGTAACTTATATTTGTGATTATACGCAACATTATTATTATTATTAATTTTAATATAATTTTGTAAAATTATTATTGTATTTTAATTTAAATTTGAGTATTAAATGTAAATTAATACTAGTCAATATTAAAAAGATGTCCTAGGATAATAGAGACGGTTGCTGCGACTGTTATAAGTACTTTTATGTATATCTGTAAGTAACGATAAACCATTGCTAATGAAAAAACAATTCTGAGCGCAGTTCAGTTCATGGTGATATTTTGTTAACAATATAAATGTTATATTATGGTAAAATAATTAAATAGGCATTATATATTTTCTTTAATAATATTTGTTTAAAATTGTACTGATTTTCTCATGTTTTTTCCTGACTTTTGCTATTTATTGGGAGAACAACTGGAAAAATCGAAAAATTACCTCCCTAAGGTACCCTCCAGTCAGATTTTCCTTTTAGAAAAAGTGCTTTTATTTTAAATCTGAACGAAATTGGTGGTAGAAAAGTTGTACACAGAAAAAAAAGGCCATCATATTTTTTTACTAATATCTAAATTTTGTACATTTTTGGGTTTTCCCACATTTTATCCTAGTTTTTCCAGGTATTATGAAAATCGTTTGAAAAATCAAAAATTTGTACACAGTATATATATATAAAAAAAAAAAGTATACCTTAGTAAAACCAATCCATTCTTCGCTACACTCAGAATCAGAAAAAAAGGTAGTTATTCACCAAAGTATACATCCCTTAAGAATTTAGAAAATGTCCAGTAAACTATTACAAATTGAAAATATTTAATTTATTTATGATTTCATATTTACGCTTAATATACTAGGTTTCCAAATTAATTGAATATTGTAGATGGAATTATAGTTTATTGTTTAAAAATTAAGATACGTTTATAAGCTAAGAACTTTGCACGTTCGCAGTGTGGGCTTTCCTGACTTGTGTTTTCACTATAATATATACAGAGTGATCCATTTATGTAACTATATTTGATATTTCGAAAGGTATTAAATTTTTTCAATTTTTTTTTATTTTTGATATTTTAAGAAGCGAGAAGCTATAAAATGTTACATCGACGTTATTTTTTGACGCCCTTATTTATGGAAGTTGAAACGACTATCTAACGACTACTTTTAATTTTAAATGGCAATAGCTCTATCTATATTAAAAATTGTATAAATTGATGAAGTAGGTAAACGTCATGCTACGTGCTTACGCATAATTAATGCTCCACTTACCCAAACTTAATAGTGGAATATCTCGTCAAGGGGTCAATTTTTGAAAACAACGCCTGATTCAATATAAAAAAAAAAACTAACATCACAGTTAACCCAATACGTTTCTCGATTTGTTCAGAATCTAAAAATTAAAATAATAAATTCAGACACATTTTTGTAAACGGACGAGGCGCAAAGAAAAAAATAAAATGTAATAGGCTAATATCAATATTGTTTTCGCTTTAATCTCTGCCATACATAATTATTACACAAATAACAACAAGTATAAAATAACATGTTTTTTTTCCATGTACAATTTAGGGTTAAAAATTAGAAATAAATCAGTCGTACTTTTTTGTTTTTTTATTTTAATCGCGTACGTACGTATTAAATGGATTAAATTCCATCATGCAATAATAAAATCTGTTTCGAAAAAAATTAAATAATAATATTATAAAATACAATAATAATAATATTTAAGAATGAGCCGAATTAGAGTATAAGTTATTTTAGCATAATATTACGCTAATTTTTTTAAAATTTTTTTTTTTTATAATATTCAGTAATACGTATTATATATGTATAAGTACAATTCCTATGTTTGTATATTGCGGTTAGTCTGCATGAAAAAAAAAAAAAACAAAATAAAACACCGCTCGTTTTACCACAATTTGTTCTCCGGTACACTAAAATACTATTCACGTCAAAATCGTCCGGGCGGCAAACTTACGGTCTTGAAACCCCGAGAAACGCCGTAACAATAATAACAACGTTAGGCGGGCCCGGATGTGAGAAGGGTCCAGCGGGGACGGCCGCGTCCGCCGGGCACCGAGGATGTACACGGTGGGGGGGGGGGCCCGTTTCGTCACGGCGCGGCGCAGAATGTTCGCCGGAAATTGCCGCCGTAGTACGGAAATTCACGCAAAACGTGCTCAGAACAATCGCGAATAGGGCCGGTGTGTATAGCATAACGGGACGACAATAATAATATTACATGAACAATTGATAATGATTATCTATATAATCTCTATGTAATAATAATAATAATAATAATAATACAATAATAATAATAATAATAATACAATAATAATAATAATAATGTATACGGGCAATAAAATGAGTAGAAAATATTTAACATAATGCATTATTGCAATAATGTATGATAATCTATTTGATGTCTTTTATTCTATTTTTTTTTTTTTTTTTTTTTTTTTTTATTCGTCTAAAACATCTAAGATTTAAAACTTAACAATAAATAATAATAATAATAATAATAATGAATACAATGTATAACATATTATACATTCGATTGCGTAGTTTTTTTTTTTTTTCTAAAACATGTTAAAAGATTCTATACAGAAAAAAAAAATATATATATATATATATATTAAATAAACAAACATTATATTATTATATTTTAATCGGGCGGGAAAAGTTCCTCGATCGACCCGTGTCGAGTGTCTGCTAACGTCTCGGATCGTTTTGTTAAAACTCTACGGAAATATCGAATTTACCCTTTTGCGATAAAACGTTGTGTTGAACAGCGTTTTGTAGGTGGCGGGGGGCGGGGGTGGGAAAGAAAAAAATGTCGTGATTTCGTTTATGCCAGGACTCGCAGGAACTCTCAACACGTGTCATGAAAATTGTATTGTATCGACGGGCGCGTAAACAACGAAATAGTATTATGAAAACGAATTGATGGGAGATTTTTATTGTTTTTTTTTTTTTGTTAAATTAGTAGGTATCGTCAAAGGCGTATCGCACGCGGCCGGGGGTTGTGGGTGTTTCGCGGACATCAGTAAACGCTTTTTTTCAAGGGGGCATGGGACAATGGTAAATTACTTTATAGGTAAATATAAATTTTTTTCACAAAAAAACTTAACTTTAACACTTCATATTATACACAGAGGAATTAAAAACCCAGACGTGACAGTTTCCCTATTTCGCTCCCCCACCTCTCTTCGAGATGTTTATCAGACGGGAGTCAAACCTCCCACATAGCTTTTTGTTTGTATCGTCGGCTGTGGCGTGCGCCGGTTAGAAGTAATCTCTTCCTGCTGCTCCCGTTGATTCGAAAACACAATAATTGTGTGTATTTATTTCGTAAAATTTAATTTTAATGGAAATATGTCGGCACGTAATATTTCAGCCCAGTTGCAAGGAAAAGTTTGGTGTATTGATTAAGTATTGGTTTTTTTTTTGTATCCGGATTTTAAATTCTCATAGTCGAGTTGAGCAGAAAAGAAGATTAGACAATATACGGTCATTATTCGTCACATACCCTCCCGTTGAAATTCCTGGACACGCCACTGATCGTCGCGGTACGTCGTAAAATTTAAATAATAATTTAATATTCGGTTTAATTAAGACGACATTTCCCGAACTGTTGCGAACGAATTAAGAACTGCCAAAATATCTTCGGGGTGAGAGAAAATGTTGTGTCGTGAGAGAGCGGTGAGGATTTATCTTCTGGGATAGGGGGGGCCCCATCGGCGTCGCGTTTTCGGTAACCCCTTTCAGAAATCACGTGTACGCCACCGGGTAATGTTTACGTTATTTAGTTAAAAATAATGGAAAGTGAAAAAAATGGCCGACGAAAGATTTTATAAATGTTTTTATTTTTCGAGGGGGGAGGGGGCGCAAGTGTCTTATCACTGGGATAATGCACTTGGCCGTCGTAAAATCGTCGTTGACCTTAATATTTTGTTAATATTGGCAGTGCGTATACAATATTATTAACCGTTAATTTTTAATAAATATACATTTTTTGTATACCGGTACCTACTTAAACAGGATACTCGGCGAGTATGCGTGAGACTCCGACGCGACAGTATTGATATTTATTATCTATTAAATTCGCGCGTATATTATAATAAATAATATAGTACAGCGTAAACCGGTTTCGTATATTTACATAAATAAATTTGTTTTAATTTTTGTTTTTGTTTTGAAATGTATAAGTAGTATAATAATATTAATAATAATAATATTTAATAATATTTAATAATAATAATAATAATAATAATTAATAATATACTAAAACGGACGAGAGTCTTGTTCGTTTTAAGTCGTGTCGCTCCTGTTCCTGGTGACGGCGGGCCACGTGTCGTGATGACCGTGATGGCAGTCGCAACCGCACCGGGAGTCGACGTTCGCGGACGACGACGACCTCCGGCGGGGGCGCATGGAAGCGGGCAGGACGGTGATTTTCCTGGGCGATCTCGACATGAACGCTGCCTCGTTGGCGGCGTTGTCGTCGTCAAAGTCGACCCAACGGCTCCGCGAACAGCCCGTCGGCATGTTCACGCTGCGCGCTCTGCGCCGCTTCGGCGGGTCGCTGCTGCTGCTGCGGTTACCCGCCGCGGTGTCGTCCGGCGGCGATGACTGTTGGACAGTCGTTGTTCTTTTGAATCTTTTTTAAAAAAAAAAACAAACAAACAAACAAATAATGTAAAATTATTCACTGTCTACCGTTCGCGAAGTCTCGACCGACGACCAAAGGAACCAAGTGTGCACAAGGGGTATTTGTTCGTACTTATAGATTAGATTGGATGTTTATTTTCATGGTAAACCTTATAATTATTACACGTATAAGTAGGCAGGTAGGTAGTAAGGACCCATACAAGAGGTGTCTACTTACTGCCAGAAATGTAGATATGAAAATAAGGAAAACCATACCATTTTAAGGACGTATATTTGTAGCGTAACTCTTTTCGGGGGGCGAGTCACAAACAACAGGGAAGGTTGAAGAAAAAAAAAAATAACTTGTATTCGAGGCGTGATGCTATAGGAGAATCCTTAAAATTAAATCGGGTAGGAAGTTGATCGTATAACAAATGAATAAGCATGAGAAGAAAGAAGTGTGTTTGTTAAAGCTCTGTGGATTAGAAATTACGATAAAAAGATTCATAGAAAGAAAAAAAAGGCGAAGTAGGTCGAATACGCGAATCAAGTAGTTAATTAGGAGACATACTCTTTATTTACTTAAAAACTTCAAAGGTAGAGTTAGTAGTTACTATAGGTATATTATAATATAGATATAATGGTTATTACTTATATTATACACGCTTGTTAGTATGCCGTTAATAATAAATTATGCTAATCAATTAGGACCTTTTCCGTACCTTTTTTTTATGTTGGAAATGTCTGAAAATTTCGAATTACACTATTCGGTCAACGAAGACGCCGGTTTCTTCGAGACTAATGATTTTCTGTAAAACAAATTCGTCCGTCTAGTATAATGGATATAATATATATATATATATACAGGTATTGAGGGTATTTACCCGTCCAAAATATGGTATTCAATTTTTTTTCTGCTATTGAATTTTATGCTCATTTATCAAGTAATCTATTCAATTTATGGTTTCTGACTTGTAGTCAAAACTTATTTTATTTTATTTCATTTATACTTATATAAACCATAAACTGTATTTACGGTCTATCGTCATTTGTTAGTTTGCATTAATCTTATAATGTTTGTAACAATTTTTGTTGCTTGTATGTATATTACATTAAAAATATTACCTGTACAAATATTTACTGGGTAATTACCAATCACCACGAGTGACAATAATTACAGCGTAAGAATAAAAAAAAGCCAATTAGGGGAACGTGTTCTGTTGCAATGCGGAAGAGAGAATCTAAGGGGCCCTTGGTACTAATGTTGGTTTTTTTTTTTAGTGAACGATGGGTGAACAAACCATATTATATGGTGCTATTTCATCGACGACTATAATTGATGAACTTATAAAAACATTTTTAGATTCGGAGCGTAGCGAGGAATGTATTGGTTTTACAATGACGTTCGTTTTTTTACTGCGAGTAACTTTTCAATGGGAAATCTTGCTCTGTTGTATCAATTGTGTCATTTTTTTTGAAAATAAATTTTGTCTAGTTGGTATTTTAGAGATGTCATTTTTTGATTTTACAAACGGTCTTCATAATAATGGGGAGGAAACACGTAGGAAAAACGAGAATATGTACGTACATGTATAAAAGAAACTTCGCTCCGAATCGTTTTTCGTTAGCAATAGTTTATCGTTGCGTATAGATAATATAAATTACATTTCCCTCTATATCCTACCTTCTCAACTACTCACCTACAACAGTAGCCCATCTATCATCGTACGAATTATGTCCGTCCTTTTTATTTTTTGCTTGTTATTTTCGCTTTCGCCGAACAAGCAGAAAAAAAGACTCGTCAAAAATTGTAGTTTTTAAGGGCCCGGAAAATCGTGCTTTACTCTCGAATCAAACTTTTGTAAGTCACGTTACTGACGAGAACGAGATTAGGGCTGTGAGATGGGTCAAGATGGGAGCGCATACTTACTTCGGAAGTGTGATTTGTATTTTGGAGGTGACGGTTGGCGCTTCCTCGAACGCAGCCGCGATGGCGTACGTTCCCAAGCCCGACGGCAAGTCGGAAGAAATAGGCGTGCCGCACCGAGTCGGCCGGTCCAGCGAACAGGTCTTCGTTTCCGCGATCTTGCGGTGCTTGACCGGTATAATTGGCACGGCTACCGACCTTTGAATAAGCATGTATCATGTATTCCACGTGAACGCGTATGAACACACAATCGGGGCGATTACCTTTCCAGCGGAAGCGTGGTCGGCACGTTCGGCAGTTCCTCTTCCACCGAATTGGGTTGGCCGAACAGTATTTTCTTCTCCTCTTCGGTGGCGGTAACTGACAACGATGACATCACTTCCGAGTCCGGCGACGTGTCATCGCTGTTAGCCGAGTGCAGTGGATCCGGATCCTGCAGCGATCTGTTAAACAAATCGTATAGTTATTCGTTTGCACGCGCATTATTTTTAAATTCGAAGACTGTTTAAAAAAAAAAAAAATCCATCCAAGCCCGTTGTATTAAATACAGTTATTTACCTACTCAATTGTGGCGACAGTGACGAATCTTCGGGTCTAACTAAATTGTTCACCATAGCACAGTCGTTTTCGTTATTATTGTCTATGTTATCTTTGATAATTTTTATATTTTCTGTGTTATTTTCGATAACATCATTATTAACTTTATCGATAGACTCTTTAAGCACGTTGTTATTATTGATTACCGTGTCGTCGATTAGATTATTTGGCGAATCTTGAACCCGATTAGGATCATACGAAACGTGAACAACTGCCCTGGTGATATTCGAATCAGAATCGCTAACAACGAGTTCATCGGGACTATCATTAGGAGAATGCAACGGAATAATAACCGTGTCCTTCTCGATCTAAAAACCGTACATAGGTGAAAACGTTAAGTAATAAGAATTCGCTTTTAATACACTGGATTCATTTGCAATAGATACACTCACGTCTTGATTAAATTTAAATTCGACATTAGTGAATTTCGGATCAATATCAATAAACTCAGATGCGCTAGGCCGTTTTGGAGATTTCTTATTTATGCTTCTGAAACTGCTAGCTCGTTGTAGGAGTGATCCGAATAGCGACCGACTGGATCCTCTGCGGTCCTTAGATTTATCCAATGTCCCTAGAGTACAGACATATATATATATATTTAAAACATCGTCCAGAATATTGAAATCTAGTTAAATATTAGTAGATAGTAAATAACACACGGGAAACTAATTGGGATGGCGAGCGAGTAGGCCTCTGTACGTCTTCGACGAGAGTGTCCTTCCTCTGTAGATTCTTTCGCATTTCAACACCCCAGGAGGACTTCCGATTTATATCCGATTTACATCATTATATATTTATAAAAGTGTTTGATAATATCACTATGGAATTACTAAAATCTCTCCTAAGACTTATCGAATAGCTATTATAATTATGAGTATTTATTATTGTTTTTCATTTATATTGCTTAGTTTTTGTTTTTTACAATTTTAACTAGCTCATGAGTTCTACGCGCCATTCAGTCTTACTATGTATGACCCTAATCTCCTAAATAGTGAGAAGTCAGTCTAATTATGTTTAGAGCGCCTAGGCCTAAAAGAGCTCCTTAGTGTAAGTAATTGAATATTGAATATCATTCAATCATTCAATAATAAAAGTATAACATAATATTATAATAGATAAAAATAATCAAAGTTTAAGAAATGTACATGGAATAATAACGATACGATTAATAAGAAACGATTATTTTATGGATTTTGAATGGTTTTATATTCTTATGTTTTTGGTATGTTTATTAATGTATATTTATCACATTTGGAATTAATAAATATTATTTCTTAGAAAATTTGATAGAGATAAATAATAAATGAAAAATAAACTTTTCTTATTTTTATGAAAATATTGATTTAGTTAAGTGAATATTTTTAAAAATTAATTAAATTTTTATGAAATAAACTGATACATTAGAGCGAATTATATTCGATACGTTAATAGATTAATACATTTCTTAAATATTTTCCCATACAACATGAAATTTAGTGAATTCGAAAAAGAAAAAGGATTACGTAATCAAAATACCATGTTAATTATGTTAATTTTTCATGTTAGTATGGAACATTAAATATTTAAATGCTATATTAACAAGTGTAAATATAATAATTAGTTATCACGATCAGCTTATCAAAAAATATATTAATTCTGTTACGCGCACTATAAAAACAGCAGTTAAGAAAGCACTGGGTTATAATGATTTGTTTAACAACTAAAAAAAAAAAAAAAAAAAGTAAGGTGCCGAACAAAAACCGATTTTGGGGAATTTTATTGGTTACCGGTTTTCGGTCTGGCTTCCTTGGAAGACTCGGAACGCCTCCTGAGGATCTGAGCTTGCGACGAAGTGACGGATTGTAGTTGACCCGAATCGTCATCTTCACTTTTAAGTGGTATGATTTTCACTAGATCGTCAGACTTAGGCCTTCCTGAATTTTTGATGATAACCTGTCCCGGTGGCGGACTTCCCGGAGTACAGTGCACTTGAACTTTAATCATCTGTTGACTTTTTGCGGGTGGCGCAGGGTCACATTTTTTTCTGCCCGATACATCTTCGTCGGGTTGATTAATGAATTTTTGAAATTCATCGAGTATTCCCGGACTTACAGATCTACTTGTAGGAGCTTCGTCTGGGTGTAAATCATTATCATGTTTTCTCGGCGGCGGAGGGGGTAATAGATTGTCATTCCCTTCCGGTTCTACCATGAATTTGTGGAATTCTTCATAAATACTTGGCGAGATTGAACGAATATTACTCGAAGTTGACAATGAAGGACTACCTTCGATTGGATTTTTGTATGTGGATTGAGGCAATGTTTTGTGCACAATACCTTTTTCTTCGTCATCCGGCTGTGTCATAAATTTTTGAAATTCTTCGTGTATTGACGGCGATAGAGATCTTCCGAGATTAGGACTATCTGTTAATCCTGCACCGACTACAGATTGAACTTCACGGCTCGTAATTGAAATGGCCGAGCAACGATTTTTCGATTGAAGTTTAGTTACGTTTAAATCTCCATCCTCTGGTTCAGAAATAAATTTTTGAAATTCTTCAAATATCGATGGTGACATAGATCTGGAAGAGCAGTCTTGGTCTATTGATTTCCTTTTAGTCATGTCAACACTTACTTGTTTTCTTAACTTGACGGGTTTCATTGGTGTTCCGTCGGCTTCTTCATCTGTACTTGCTATGAATTTTTGAAATTCTTCTCTGATTCCGGGTGAGCCCGATCTAACCGGTCTCCTTATTCTTCTAGATTCAATAGTAGCTGGGTCTCTGTTAATAAAATTCACTAATGTTTTGTTTGTAAACGGTTTTAACCGTTTAGGACTAGTTGGATTTGCAGACACTTGTTCGTTTGGATCAGGATTTAGTGGAATGTAAATTTGATTTTCCCCTGTAGATATTTTAGGACGAGAGGAATTTTCGCGTGGTATAGCTGTCGGGACTTGTTTAGGATTATTACTCTGAATTATTTCTACGTCATCATCATCAAGACTTTCCAATGGTACAAATTTTTGCGTTTTTGGGTTATCAAGAACGACTTTTACTTTTTCAGTGGGTTTCTCCTTAGTCTGCTTTTCTTTTGGTTTATTTTCCATGTTTGGTTTTTTTATTTCTTTTTTTTCTTTTGTTTCTTTAATTTCTTTTGTTTCTTTTAGTTCTTTAGCCTTTGACGATGTTCTCTTCACTTTTTCTTTCACTTGATCTTTTTTTATTTCTTTTTTCACAGAATCCGCGTGTTCTTTTTTCGGTCTTCTTTCGGTTTGTGTTTCTATGTCAGCTAATTTTGGCCTAACGGTTGGTTCGCTAAGATCGTCGTCGTCGTCGTTGCTGAGAACCAGCTGGCGGTTGGCAAAGTGCTCGGGTGATTTAGGACCACAGAATGATGTCTCCAAGAGTACTCTATGCGGCGAAGAGCCTCGGGAAGCTCTGGAATAACTGGAATAATTTGATGCAGCAGATAAACGCGATGCTGCAGAAGCTATAGAAGCTGTAGAGTGCACTGAACCTACTGAAGAGACCCGGCTACTACGACCACTAATACAAAGGAAACCTGATTCGCTAGCTGTATCCCTTCGGTCAGCGGCGAAATCTGTGTCCATAGTAGCGTCAGAAACCTGTAAATAAAATAATATCTATTAATAATTTATAATAATATAGTAAAATATTGGTTATTTAAATTGAATATAATTATAATCGTTTTGATGTTGAAACGTCAATAGACGCGTAGGTATAACTATGGTAAGATACTGAAAGTCCAACGATAATTAAGTAGTTGTATACGTGTAATTTAGAAGACAATTCGATAAATTTTGATATCTTTGTTAATATTAAACTTTTTGTTTTCAAGTTTTTCAATTGAATTTTCTTTCAGGGAGCATGTATTTAGAGAAAAATTAAATTTTTATTTTTGCCCCTTAATTAATTAAAATATATAAATTTATTTGTTCACTTTTCAACATTTTTGAAATAGCCATTTACGGATAAATGTTATTCTAAAAATTTTAGTACATCATATTTAGGTACATATCAATAGTTTTACAGTAATAGCAGATTGAAATTCTAGAAAATTGGTGTGAAAACAATTTATATTCCTCCTGAAAGGAATTCTGATTGAAAAAAAAAATGTTGAAAAATTGAATATTAAGAGAGATATAAAAATCCGTTGAACACGATGGGACACTCTGTATTATGTTCTAAAAATAATATTTTCATCAACTTTAATAATTGTTCTTAATGTAATAAATAGTGTTTTTTTCTCGAAGTTTAGTTTCACCTAATTATAGTATTAGGTGGTTATTTTTTTGTTTTGTTTAAGAAAACAATTCTCAAATAGACGGGGCTTGGATGATATATGTGTTTGAAACGTAGATAAGTATCGTATCTATGTTAAAAAAAAAGCGGCCGGAATAACGAAACGGCGCGATTTGAGGAAAATTATCGCGTTAAACAACAATATTATAATATGTTTGTAAAGACATTAGCGACAATACGAGGTTATTAAATGTTTGTTAAATATATACCGCGTATTGAGGCTGCAGTTTGGACCGCCGCCTCCGGATTTCCGACTCGGTTAAGTCGTGAAAATTTAATTCTTCGGTACTGCTGTGCAAGTCGGGTATAATCTCTTCCGTGTATCCCAGACAAGACTTTACGGAATCGACAGATTTACCGTCGGCGTCTAACACAAACAAACAACAACGGTAATATTATAACAGTTAAAAAAAAACAAAACAAAATAATGTATAAATCGTGTAAATATATATATATATATATGTGTATAAATCTAATAAACCAAACGGGCGTCGGTTATGCGAACGACGACGTCCCGTGCTCCGTTTTCGTTTCGAGCACATACACCGTGCGTTGTTTACTGCACCGTCATACGCGTTTACGCTGTTTTTACAAAAACCGTATAAATCCGGCGTAATTTTTTTTTTTTTCATTCGTTATACATAACGTACGCCGCTCGTATACTAGAGAATTCCGTGTTTAATCGGACATCATAGCGTGTCTGCCAAATCGGATCGTAAACATTTAACCGGCCGATAAACGGGGGCCTGTTAAACGTCTGAAATTCGCGTCTCACCTCACGCCATCCCGACGCGTGTACAGGATCAATTATTTTTAGCCATTCGCCGTTCCATTCCGTTTTTATTATAGACCGAGCTTAAAAATTACTTTTGATTTCGACGGGCGAGCACGATTTACCGTTCTGGCGCCGGACCAACAAACGAAATAATAATATGCATCCGAGATGATAATTCGCGCCGAGTTCGCTAATCGGGACCTGTGCTTAAATACGTCGTAAAGGCTTATTGCTATCGCGGCAAAAATAATGATAATAGCTGTAGCAAAGTACAATAGAATTACTGTTAGATATACGGAATTTTAAATTTCAAACGACACAAAATATAACATAATAATTATATTGTATTATAGGTACGACAATGATATCACGTGTGTATATATATATATATTACGACATTATTGGTTATTGGACTTACCGACGAACAAGTCTCTCTCGGGACTACTGTCGTCGTGGTGCGAAGAGCTGCTGGCTCGAGAGATGTCTATCCTCGGGGCATTTGGCATTGCCAAACATAACGTCTGCTGTCTGGCCGCCTTGGCCGGAGTGTCCGGCACTTCCTCGATGTTTTCCAAACATTTGTTTTTGGTGTCCGCGTCCGGGCTGTCTAATAAATCCTCACTGAGATCTTCGGATGAGGCCAGCGGAGGCAATTTCCTCACGTATTCACGCTTGTCCATGTCACGCTAACGGCACGACGGTCGCCTGAAATCACAACTTTGTCAATATTATTGTCAAAACACCGTTTTTTTTTTTTTTTTTATATATATATATATATATATTGTGGACAATAATATTATAATATTTTTTTCTGCTTTGACCTAGACAAATGGACGTCGCACGTACTGACGCAAATAGGTGGCTCGGAGTTTTAGCTTCCATCTCCCAATTATTACAAAGTTGCCGGTTATTTACCTTTGTCTACATAATTAAACCGTTATATTTATTGTGTTTTTTATCTTCGTCTAGATTTTTTTTTATTCTAGCCTCAGTATCGCTTGTTATTATCTTTATATAGATATCTTAAACTTTGTTTTTTTTTTTCACTGTACACGACCGGCCGCGAGGACCTTATTAGATAGTATAACATCTTCTATAATATCACGGTATTATAAACTACGCGTATCGAGTTGAATATTATTTGCAGACGTTTTTATATGATACTATATGGTCGGAGTTTTTTTTCTTGTATGTAATATAGGTTATTATTTATACACCTATAATAATGTACACGAGCTAATGGTACTATAGACGCGCGTGTCTATAAGTATCATCGGTTTTATTGATTCGCAGGACACCGGCACCGGCACCGGGAACGCCAGACGACCTACAAATCGCGGGCTACAATTATAAGCACGCCGTACATTATAATATAAACGAATTCCCTTCGCGTTTGCATCGCTCGGTTAAAAATAACACCGAAATCGTGTCCAAGTAATAGAAGAAAGGTTTTTTTTTTTCCGAAATATTTCAAGTTCACGTTGACCTATATGTTATATGGAATATGTGTGATATAATTACTCTGTATACGTATCAAAACTATTCAACGTTTGGTTTTCGAGTCCCGAATAATTCAATAAGATTACAAAAATCCGCATTTTCCTAAATGTATATTGTAGAAATGGCGCGTTTACAGGGAGTAAATGTAACTCCCCTCGGAGCCTTTTTTTTTTTTTTATCTGTTATTTAAGTTTTATTTTCCTTGTGCATATAGGATCTCAATAGATTTTTGCATCCTCTAAGAAGTTATGTGTATTTACATTACAAATTGATGCCGTTGAAGCGTGCGCCGAAAAGGAACGCTTATTGGTTTACAGTAATGTATGTCTCGTTGAAAGGCGTTAAATAAAATATCAGTACCTATTTGGAATTTCGTTTATGGTATCTATAAATGTTTTCTGTGGTTTCGATTGGTCACACGAACAACATACAGCATCTGATATTGAATTAATTAATACCAACAACTTGGGATATCCCTCTATTAATTAATATATAATTTGATGAGATACAATTTATAATAACCGTTTGAAATTGGATGAATCATTTTGAATAATAACATTGTCGGCTACCTTGCAGCATAACCTTGTAAGCCACTGTTTTGTTGTTTGTCAAAAAACAATTCTACCAGAAATCTTGCTTCAATCAAAAACTTTATAGGACATTACTTGTAAAATTTTTGATCTAATTGGCGCATCGGGGGAGGTCGTTTCTTGATTTTCCTTGGTAGTTTTTATAATAATAGTTTTCTTGGTACAAATTTGTAAAATTTATAAACATCCGACGATATATAATTTAGAAATACCTAGTGGTTTGAAAATAATGCCTACCAACCTACCTAGAAAGTTAGACTACTCGATGAAAACACACACGTATTTTATATTATAATATATCGGTGTAACATATTGTCCCCCGAGTATCGAGGTCAAGTCGAGCTTCGGTTAACAAACCGTATAAAAAACGAACTGCACTTGGACCAATGACGGTCGGTTACAGAGTGTTTAAATTAATACTATACCTATACCGCTTGCATTTTTTTCTTCACGTCTCTTATAAATGAAAAATCAATACCTACGAACCATTGTCTTATCTTGTTTTCGACCGGAAGCCCTTCAGTTATTATTATGTTTTTAGTCGCACATTGTTATAATTGTCAATGATGAATGATGATATACCATATTTGAATTTGACGTCATCGTCGGGAAATATTTTGTTGCGACGTTGACCGTTTATCGGTAAAGTGAATACTATAGTATTATACAATAACAAGCGACGATTTTGGCGGAAATATTTTTATCACCATCAGGGTCTAAAATAGCACATACAGTATGCGGTAACAAATGCAGTAGTGACCAGTTCAGTACATTATTTTAATATGACTGTTATATATTGTGATTTTTCACCAGATAGTACTTTGTTTGTCATTTTGTTCGAAATTTTAAATTGTGTTCCGATTTTTCCACGTAAGGTGCCTTGGAAGATTACGTGAAATAAATCACATTGGAAGATGAGGAATTTCCACTCTATTGTACTTTACTTGAACTATTTTTTTTTTTCGAATTCTTAACAGTTTATCCTTTATTGGTCTTTTATTTAGTTTTGTTCTCGGAAAACACATTTTCGGTTTTTAAAAATGGTCTAAATTGTTGAAAATTCACTATAGGATATTCGATTTTATCTATTTAAATACAAGTTATTGATAAGTATAATATTATAATGTATATACAGGCAACTAAATTAATATGTAAATATTTGTATATTTTGTTTTTTGGAGAGAGGACAGTAATAAATCACATCGATTTTAGGAACCGAATAATATTTTATTAGATCTCTGTATGTATGTATATATTATTATTATTAATATTCGTGTGTCCGTTTTATAAAACTTTGTCCCGTTCACGAGAGAGAGAATACGAGAAAGAGAAAGTTAGTTACAATTTATCGCCTATACCGGATCGTATTGTTGGGAATTTAGAATACTGTATTTGATAGAACATTAGTAAGTTTTAGAACGACGAAACTCAACCGAAAACTTTCGAACATAACATTTTCGTTAGGAAGTTTCTCGCGAATTTCGTTCTATGCAATTTCCTATCAATAATATTTCATAATAATATTTATTAAACTCAAATATTTAAACGGTTCATGTCTTCCGATATTATCGCGTCTGTTAATAATTTTCGTGTAATTTTTCGGTTAACTGTTTTGGCGCGGGACAACTGTACTATTTCCGTATCAACAGCAAAATTACCCAAATTTCACAGCACATTAAAGAATTTCATACATTTCGTAGCGTGCCGTTTTTTAATAGTACTATCCAGTAGTTTTTGTAAAAATACTAAAATTACAACTTCTGTAGTTCTATTAAAAATATGAAATAATGTAGTTTAAATCACGCTTACATAAAAATGACTTATGATAAATTATTAATGGTACACGGGATTACTTGTGCATTTATTCGATAGTGAATTTGAATATGTTTAAGTTGATAAATTTCCATTTTTTTCTTCCGTGAATATTACCTATACGTACCTCTTAAATACGGGCGGTTATCGTGATCAATAAATTATACATTTTCTGCATATTACGAAGTAAAGAAATGAATGTGACTCGTTCCGATAAAATGCGAAAGTCCACTGTTGAATAGTTAAATAATTAATTTATACTGGACTAATTGTTTTGAATTTGTACTCGAATAGATATTGAATATTCAACTAAACAAAATTATACAGAAGAACTCTGCAGTGTAAATACTCGTATAGAAATACGAAAATCCTACGGATTACATTTTGTACGCGATTCGTATTTTAAACAATATTGTTAACGTCGTTATTTCGGTTGAAGTGAAATGATTTCAATATTTACGTTAAGTTTAATGTTTTAACTATAAAAAATCCGGGTACGGCCAGTGAACCAGATCTGGTGCGGGTCTGTGCATATGGGTGTATAATATTAAGATTCACTCGTATATGGTTATAAAACTAATACGATTTATGGTAATTTTATTGAAGCCAGTAAAACGGATGTGGTTTACTATATTAATTGACCCAACGTATAGTATTAAGAAGATAATCTATCTATAATATATATTATCTATGCACATAAAATAACATGTCATGAGTGATTCATTGTCGCATAGCCCAAACCACTGGACGGATCGAGCTGAAATTTGGCATACAGATAACAGATAGCTATTATGACATAGATATCTGCTAAGAAAGGATTTTTGAAAATTCAATACCAAAGGAGGTAAATAAGGGTTTTTGGGTATTTTTGGTAAGAATATCTAATTTGTATTTATTTTCGATTATTCATGGATTACCCTGGTGATACAGATGAAATAAAAAAAAAACAAACAAATTGGTCTAGACAACGCCGAATGGGACAGCTACTATGTAATATGCATCAACATTCTTAAAATGAGTTGGTAATCAAACTGTATATAATCACAGTTAGAAAAATATGTGGATTGTAAATTGCACAAGAATTCAAAATCTTATGATAATAATAGATAGGTACATACGTTTCGAAAATATGTATAGTATGAGATATCAGAAGGTAACACAAAATATTTTCAAACTAAATTTATTCTGTATTGCGATAGTTTTATATTTACTCGACCGACGATGTTATTTTCATATTTTATTAAACGACTGTAAACCAAAATTATGTAAATTGCGTGTCGAGTTGATGATTTTCTAGTAGTAAGTATAACCTTTATTTGTGTAAGTCACAAAAGCTGTATTACCATTAAGACCAATATAAATATTCTGTGTACATTTCAGGTATTTTATTATTTATAGTCGAATTGTAATAAAAAAAAAAAATTGAAAATAATGAAACTGTTATTTCCGTACAATTTCGTATTTTTCTCAATTATTATGAAAACTAGTTGGTAAATTAAAGAATAATATCTTGAATGCATCAACAACGTAAATCTCAAATTCAACTTAGAAAGCTTTGTTGTCATTTTTTAATTGGAGAAAGATTTCTAGTAAAAAAGTTGTTTACAGATAGACAAAAATTAAAAAAAAACAAATTGTAATAGTAAAACCATTACATTCCTTACTTTGCTTTAAAATAGGCATAGATAACCCAACAGTCACAAATAAATTACTAGTACCTACTTTTTAGCATTCAACCTTTAGGTCATTATTAGAGTTAGAGAATTCTAGCATTTGAGTATTATTTTTGAAAGATTAAAAAAATATCAAATGCCAATTAAATTATTTTACCATAAAATTACATATATATATATTGTTGACAAAGCATGACTAACAACTGAATTCCACTCAGAATCGTTTTTTCATAAGCAATGGTTTATCGTTGTTTACAGATATACATTAAATTCCCTTCAGCAGGTAAATATTGAATAAAATTATTTTAAATAAGAGCTGATACGGCTGAGTGATGTGCCACTGTCATAGTTGGGATGTTGGGAAGTTAGCGTATATAAAGTTATTTAATTTATATCTATATTCAACGATAAATTATTGCTAATGAAATACAATTCTAAGTGATGTTCGGTTAAACATGTTTTGTAACGCCTTGATTTTTACGATTTTCGGCAATGTAACATTTTATAGTCTGGTTGTATAATTATTGTCTATTTTATTAAATATGTAAGATAAGATATTTAACTTGTGGTCGGCCTATAATTTTTTAAGAGCATCGGTCTATCTGGAAAAATCCAGGTATCTAGATGGGCCACTCTGCCTCTGCATGGATGTTTTTAAATTGTCTAAAAAACACATTTCGAAAAAAGTTAATATTTTTTGACATAATAAATGTTTTACTATGTTATGTTGATCACCTTGAATACTAAGCTGTTGTGTACGTGATATTTGTCTAAAGTTTAAACGTATAGCTACCGATATAGAATAGTTTTTATCGCTGAAAATTATTTCCATCGTTTTTTGTGCAATTTAATAACAATATTCGTCGTCATTAAGAGGTTTTTGTAGTTCACGATACCGTATCCAAAGTTTTGACGCTAAAACTTTGTAATTTAAGTTAAAAAACATAATTGACGAGCTGGGCACGTCAATTATAATAATGTTATAATATAATTTATGTCTTCTAAATATCTAAATATCGTTACTCTCTCGACAATATCTGTTTTTTTTTTTTACGAGAAATTTAAATTATTATTATAAATTTTGTTGATTAATGGAAAGTATCAATCAAAATGTTTTGCAAAATTCTATAAAACAAAGGTTATTAAATTGATTGAAAAACCCCGGTCAAATGCGTGTTTCACACTTAACATAACATAAGTTAACTAGTTAACATAAAATTATTTTTTTCAAAATAATTTTCGTTTAAAGTGTTATGAAGAGAAAATTAATTTTCTATTAATGAATTGAATTATTTTCTAGAACAGCTGGCCTCGAATACTCTCTAGTGTATTCTTGGGTTTGTTGCACTTAAGAAAAGTTTTATCGCCGTTGTTTGCGAAAAATTAACGGTGGGTCGTAAAAACGATATAAGTGATGTTCTAAAAACTGCTTATTAGGAACACGGATAATTGATATAATCGCGTTATTCATAGGTTATTTGAAATAAAAAGCTATCTGAATCTTCAAATACTTGAACAAGTTGACATTTGTTTTAAGAAGAAAACAGCAAGAGCCCCCTCCTTCAAATAAAGAAATTCTAGAACCTCATAGTGTGTATTCTCAAGAAAGCAATTCAACACCGTGCAGCTGGGGGCAGCTTTGCTCTTATGAAGAGTAATTCGGATTCCACGATAAGTTAATCAAGCAAAAAAACAGACATCATTAAATAGGTACATTTTTACATAATATAATATTAAGTAATATAAAATGCAATATAAGTACCTATGCAATAAAATATGTTTTACATTTTTTAATTGTAAATTTTAGATTCTGAGTTAAGCAAAGAATCTATTGGTTTTACAAATATATATATTTTTTTTTATGCAATAACATTTTTTCTACCAGAAAGCTTATTCTGATTTCTAAGCAGAGCATTTTTTCTGAAAGGAAATGTTTTCTGGGTGATACTTTGAAGAGGTCATTTTTTGAAATTCTCATTAATATTCGAGATAATGACCAAAATCTGGTTCTTTAGGTTAAAAAAGATTGAAATAATTTTTTCGTTAGCAATGGTTTAACGTTGCTTACAGATATACATTAAATTCCCGTCTGTATCTTACCTTCCCAGCTTCCCACTTACAACAGTAACTGCACCTAAGTTTGAAGTATATCCGTCCTTTTTAAAATTTTTTTTTTAATAGTAAAAATAAATAAATATAATAACCAATGGCACATTGATTGACACATTTCACCATGGTTCAGGATTGTTTCTAATAAATGGCTTCTATACTGTACGTATATTTTATTATACGCACGGGTAAACCTTTTTGGTACTTGGCAATGGTGGTAACTTACTTACTAGTAATTACAAACATTGACAATGTTATATAGATTCATAGTGAATACATTGTATACGTATTATAATGTATTCCGGATGTACGTTCCGCCGTAATTACACCGTGGGATCGTGGTCAGGTTGGAAAATTATACGCAAGTAGCGGAATCTCTGTAGCTAAACTAAACGAGCTTACATACGTTCTGGTCGTTTTTTGTGGCGTCACAAAGATACAGAGGCCGAGAGTCCGGTCGTTTTTCGGGGTACCCAACGTGGTACATAATAAAGCGTTTCGCGGCGTTTTATGTTCATTGATATCGTGCCAAGGATGACGATCCTTCTTGCGGACGAGACAAATCCCTAAAGAGCCCCGAGAGCGATTTTCCGGGAGTTCTAAATAATAGTACAATATGGTTTTCTCTGTGTTCCTCGTGATGTCCGGACAATTTATGCCGCGGCCGACGGTCATTCTTGCCGAGATAAAACCAGAGCACAACATAATAATATAATAATAATATTATTATTATATTCTCCGGTTGTTTTCGAGTAATTCACACCGGCGGCGATGACGGTATACAGTATAACATCATTATAATATTTTATGCGATACTGTACTTATGCACAAACAGTGTTGTGTATATTATAAAGATAAACTGTAGAATATCCAGATAAGGGTAACGAATCGTTGCTAGCGAAGTCGGAGAATTGCGGCCCAATCCCTAAATAAAATATGAATTGCTACTCGGGTTTATGAAAAGGACGTACGAATTGCAGCTACATAATAACTTTAATTTAGTGGTACAGTTGCAGCTGGCAGTAAACCGTGCCAAAATGCATTTATATGTTTTGTTCTGTGAAAATAACAATTATAGAGTTTACCTACTTTGTCGTTTACAAACAAAAATATATAGTTCATCTAATGTAGATTTTAATGTCGAATTAATAAAAAACTGTTGGTTGCCAAAATCGATTTATTATATTGTTATAATTCTGAGTGAAAGAGTTTTGCTGGTTTGAAAAAAAAGAGAAGTCTTCTAATTCACCTTTAGAACGGTGTTTTTAAACCTAAGGATCAATCGAATGATAGTTATAGGGTCACCAAAAACCATAAGTATTATGTACTATTATACTGTACGAGTATATCATAGTATTCAAGATCTATTAAATCAGTTTTCTATAGTTCTGATCAGCGTTATACTATAATCCTTAACTGTAATATGTGCAGAAAACAATTTTAAAAAGTACTTACAAAAAATTGTAAGTAAATTGTAAATTGAAAAATCACACAATGCTTTACACGTATCTATGAATATGATATTTATGAACTTATAATTATTAACTATATCAGCGATAAAAGTTTCTTGATAAAAAAGATTACTTGGGCCATGACTCATCGAAAGTCGTTACTAGAAAATAATTTTTCAGATGAAAATAAAAGATATATACACATTCAGTTATCTATAAATAAATAGTCACCTTAAAAAAAGAAATACATTTTTTTCGATACTTAACATTCAGTTTTAATGATATTTTTTTCTCGATATTTATCATTAAACTGAATGTTAAAAGTAGTAAAAGTGTACCAGATTTTGTATATAACTAAATTTCAAATAAGGTTGCTTAATAGATGCAACTTAATAATTTATATAAATTAAATATTTTGCCTGCAATTTCTAATATATACCCGAACAGCGATTTAAAATGATTTATCTAGATGATTTCATTACTCATCCCAGATAAATGAGAGGTAACTATATTATATTTATCTAGATAAAATACAACATTGACTGCAAAATACATGAATATGCCGTATAATATTATATACTAATATAATAATAGAGGCCACAGCAGACGAAATATTAAATTAACATTTACCGGACAATTAAATAGGTAATAATAATTAATAATACATGTTATCGCCCGTGTTTCCATTATAATAATTTTATGCATAGCAACATAGGGATTTATGTTCTCTAACTCGTTTTAAATAATATAATTTTAACAAATATTAGACGAAGACAAAATTTAATTTTATAACGATTTTCACGCTAATTAAAGTCTGTGGTATATTTTAACTAGTGATAGTGATGTATAGCATTAGTGATAATCGCTCTGTTTTCCTCGAAAATAGAGACTATTGCACCCTTTGGACCAAAGATGCTCAAACTCAGGAATTGGAATTTTTTTATAGACTGGTTGAAACGATGACAGTCTGGTCAAATTCAAACATGAATTTTAACCATGTTGATGGCGGAAGATTTTTTTATAGCTCTCTACATTTGTACAGACGGTCTAAATTTAAAAATTGTTGGGGAGGGGGTTGAAACTTGGAACCTCCAAAAGGCACACACTTGATACATTATTCGTACAGAAATATCACCCACACCTGGCTTCTTTTGGGGGAGAGGTCTTTCGGGGGCTTTTAACGCCAAAAAAAAACATCCATTTCTCGCAAAATGGCAGTAAAATTCAACTAAAATGTCATCATTCAAACTAGCTAACGGAAAAACTCTACCCGAGTTTGAATTCGTTTGGTCTTGGATGGAGACCGCTAAAAGTGCCCGAAAATTAGCAATAGTATAGTCTCCATTTTCGGTGGAAATTCGACGAAAAGTATATTTGAACAGAATGTCGATCGTAGTAGCTACGGGTATTCTAGCTCGTCTCTGATTTAAACAATATCCTTGAAGTATTATAATGTAATACTATGTCGGCCAACATAATATTTTGTGTGTCCGTTCGCGTTCCGGAATATTTGTGTAGGCCATAATATATACGGCGAAACGTGCGAAATACAACGCGAAGTCCAAAACCCGTATAATATTATACTACTAGTATATATATATATATACATAAATGTTTATAATATATTCACAAATCGTTTGGGTAGTGCTCGTTTGCAAAGGGGATAGTAAAATTTGCGGGTTAGCGGGCGTGGCGGCCATTTTTTACGGCCGGCCCGGGTCCGCGTTTCGCGATAGACTTGGCACAGGCTAACAATATTCATCGCGATTCACTCGGTCCCGTGACCCGGGAAATCGATCATCGATAGCATACGGAAATAATAATACGATGATAATAATATGTATGCTATGATATTCCCCGGGGATATCCCGGAAAAGTGATGGCAGTCGTATCGTTTTCGCCGTTTCCCTATTTCCGCCGCCACGGTGTACCAAAATCCCGGAAAATAATACGTGCCGTCCCCGAAATATGGTTTGAATACGTTCAATTTTTTTTTTTCGACACTGACGTTTCTGAAAATGATCGTTTTTAAATTGTAGATAGATTTAAAATGGACAGTCATATCAAATGTATTGTTAATGGTATTTTACGTAAATTTATCTACGTATTTAATGAAACTATTTATATGAGTTATATATTAGATAAATCGTACAAAAGAGTTATTTATTTAGCTTTAGTTCAACCAATTTTCTCTTATGGTATATCTATTTGGAGAGGAACTATTAATAACCTTATTTCCAGGCTGAATGTTACAATAAATTGTATTATTAAATATTTACTAAATCTTTCTAGACAAACTAGTAATATTTTTATTTATGAAAAATTTAATGTTAAGAATTGTAAGACTGTTTATAACCTATTTGTACTAGTAGATTTTTATAAACATAAACATTGAATGCTTGTATCAGATCATAAACATAACATTAGGTGTACGCAAAATGTTAACATACGTGATACGTCTATTGAATTGTCATAAAGTTTTTAGATAAAATTAGTGTTTTGTATGCCGGTCTTGATTTATATCGTTTATTAAATATTAATATTAATTAATTTGAATATTTAAAATATTTTAAAATTATACGCCATTATAAAAGTAACCGAGTTTATACGAAATCAGTTTACGATTGATTTTTCTGAACCGACACAAATTATGAATAAACCCATAAAATTTTATTCCTTCTATAGATTTTTTTTAACTGTACTTAGCATATATTAGAAACATTTTCACTAAATAATATTAATAATATTAATAGTGTATAGAATAGATTTTAGATTCTGAGTGGAGCGAGGAATGTATTGGCTTTACAGTGATATTTATTTATTACTATTATTTTTTTTTATATACTGCGTGCAAAAATTCTACCAGAAATCTTATTCCGATGTGTCAAGTCTAGCATCTTTCCTGAAAGGGAATTTTATCTATATCGTACTTAAGGAGGTTATTTTTTGATTTTTTTATAATACTTGGGAAAAACTTGAAAAAACCGTAGGAAAAACTGGAAAGTTTACGAAAATAATGCTTTTATTATTTTCAATTTTGTTTTTTATTTTAATTCAGTTAAAACTTTTCTATTCACGGTAAAATTTTCAAAACATTTGAGCTATTTATAAATATTTTAATTTTGCGAATTTTTCGACGTAATTTTTATTCGGTTGATACTCTGTGTATAAAACAGTTGGACCAAACAAAACTGTTTGAACATTTAACAGGTGGTTCATTTTAAGTTTTACTTAGTGGTCAAAAAGAAAAAGTTGGGTTTGATGTATTTTTTTTTATAAAAATTTTAATTCAAATTATGAAAACTATACTCTTTTAAAACAAGTACAACGGAACTCCGCTCAGAATCGTTTTTCGTTAGCAATGAGATAATCATTGTATACAAAAGTACGTTAAATTCTCTTCTATATTCTACTTTCCCAACTTCTCACCTACAAATGTGGTGCACTCATCGTGTGAAGTATGTTAGTCTTTTTTTTTAGTAAATATCAGCAGTTTATAAGATATTGTTATTTGAATCACATATATTATAAGGTTCTTTTCAACAAAAATCAGACAATTATCTAAAAACAACTCTAGTTTGAATTACATCGATACCGTGAATAATAGACGCTAGTTATGATCCATAATGATCTTTGTCTACCCACAAAATTGAAAATTGAAAATTGTAATATAGTGTAATATTTCTTTAAGGGTTGACGAGAATTAAAAATATCAACACTGAAACTATTATTTTAACTGGAACATCATACGTTTATGCGGAATTTTTAATATTGGTTGCTATTTGTGTTACTCGTCTAATTTCCGAACTTAAGGGGAATGCAACATTTTCGAACATGTACTATTCTGAAACATTTTCACGTGAGCAGCGGTGGTATCAGGACAAGATAATGGAGAAAGAGATCGAAGTTTGAAAATGCATGTAAGACAATTATGGCGAGTTAAATTATGAATATTGCTAAGAGTAGAATGTATATTATTATATTGAAGAGTGAACGGGAGGGCTATCGCCCCTATAGCCCTTCTTCTTGATCCGCCACTTAAGTATGACATTTTTTGAAAAACTGTTATTATATTTCACGGTGAAATTGACTGTAACGTAAAAATTTGGAAAACCGTGCTGGGTAACAGAAACGTCTTTTTCACAGCTTATAAGGTTGTTGAGCATAGTCACTGTTTGTTTAAGGCATCAATATACGTTATACTAACACGCCAACTCATCGACATAAATTTCTCCCCCCCTGAGGAAATCGTCTATAAAAAGAAGAAAAGAAAAAAAATTACCTTTCGTCACGCGTCACTGATTTCGCGACATCACTGTAAGATAAGAAATACAAAAAAACCACGATATCGGAATCTTTGATGATGATAGTAATAAGTTATCGTTAAGTAGCTATTATAATATTATATTATAGTGGTGTTCTAAATGTCTCGACGACACGCGATTATAGTCGACAATCATCAAACGGCCGTTTAAACATCGTTATAGGTATAGATTTTAAGCTTAACGGTTTTGTTATTATTCTTGATTTTTTTTTTTTTATTGTAATTAGGTTGTAAAAATAATCGTAGATACCTAACACATTTTCACCGAATAGTCGTATACCTATTGCCTTTTTCCAGAAGTAGTAACATTTTATAAACGATCTGGTGATTTTTGAATTATTTGTTGACATTAGATATTTTCGCGTTTTATTTAGTTTTTATGCGAATAAAATTGTTTTGGCCGGGCCAACGTGAATGAAAATTATTAAGTTGAACTTAGTGATAAAATAAGGTGAGTAAATTTAAAAAATAGTTTTAGATTCTGAGTGGAGCGAGGAGGAATATATTGGTTTTACAATGGTGTTTATTTTTTTTTTCTATGAATAACTCCTCTATTAAAAATTAGGCTCCGTTTTTTAAGTGTAGTACTTTTTCTAAAAGAAAATTTGACTGGGGTGATGCTTTAGGAAAGTCATTTTTTTAATTTTCCTAAGGATTTTCCTAATAAATTGGAAAATCAGGAAAAACGGGAAAATTTACGAAATTTGTTATTTTCAAATCGTAAATATTACGGTCTTTCGCGTAACATGTACAACCGAATTCCGCTCAGAATCGTTTTTCGTTAACTACGATTAATTTTTCGCGCAGATATACGTATAACATTTCCCTTCAACCTTCTTAACTTTTCACCCACAACAGTGGCCCACCAATCGTGCGAATTATGTCCGTTTGTTTGTGAAAATCACTGCGTTTCGAAAAACACGTTTAATCGGACATCGTTCAGAATCGCATTCCGTTAGCAATGATTTTTGTTTTCGGTTTTAAACTGCCGCACGGTATTATATTTGTACGACGACGACGTTACGACTTTAGCGCATACGATATCGCGTACGTACCCGTTGTAACCCTCCCCCCCCCCGCCCCCCGTAGGTACCCATTGTATGCAGTAAATAACATAATATTATGTACACTCGCGTAATATTATATTCATGGCATTACACCATAATAATAATAACGAAAACCGAGCGTTTTCGACCGCGGGCTGCCGTCGCTGTTGTAATATTATTATCGCTATTACCTAGTTTTCATCGCGTATAATAATAATATTACGTTTATAGGAAGTTACCGGGGGGGGGGAGGGGGTTGGGGCTGGGCGAGGTTTGTTAAAGTAATAGCGCGCGAAGAAGCCTGCGATTCGACGGCTGAAAAACCGATAAAACCGCACGGTAAACCAACGAAAACTACCCAATAGGTAGACAGGTACCCGTTACCTATCTGACATCGGTGTGTATTATCTGCCCCGACTACTATTATGACTGCGCCTGTATACCTACTACCTATCGATGTACAGAAAAAAAAAAAAAAACGAAACGAAACGAAAGTTTTCGACATTATATTTTTCGATAAAAGTTTTGGGGCCGTGGCGGCGGTGAAAGCGAAACGGTTACATAATTCATTATTCATATTTTATAAACACAAAGGTCGAGGATGTATTATCATCATTATTATTATAATATGTACAATTTATACGTATATTATATTATTTCTGGCGTCGTCCTATCCGATAAATACCCAATAACAATCCCCCATTCACGTCAAATTATGAAATTAATTACCCGAACACGGTTTGGTGCGGGCCGCGATATTTATGTCGTCATCGTTACTGCAGTACGTCATAATATTATTATTATATATTATACACCTTTAATAATATTGTAATAATAATATACAGTCGCGCGTGTATAAATATTGAAAACAATGAAAACGCGCCGGATCTGATAAGCTCACTCGAAGGGCGGGGGAGGGGGTAGGAGGGGGCGCACCGACGTCCAAGCTCCCGAAATCAGATCTCAGGGGCGGGGGTTAAACATTTTTCCAAATGTATACAGTTACCGTAATCATATACACTTTCAAATTCGTTTACGTTAAAAATTACACAAACCCTCGTATCCCTCCTGCAGGCACTCTGACCTCGGGCACAATATCGTTTTTGTAACAATTTCAGAAAAAAGTACCAGAACCCTCCCTCCCTTCACACACTTCTCAAACCACGTCAATGAATCGTATCAATAATGAACGGTTTTTTTTTTTTTTTCGAAACGTATTTATTTGAGAGAGTTGATTTGTGCGAGATTATTACTGGATTTCGAACAACGACATTCTATCGGTCCTAAGTTGATATTTCTTTCGTTCAAATATATGGTAATAGTTTTGGGCGTGATTTATTAATAATAATAAATACACTGTACGCAATCGACGTACAATTGTTTTCGATCCTTTTGGGATTGGACCGGCAAAAATCGTTTCGATTACTACGACACGCGTATTTACCTACCAGTAAATACGCCAGTAGGGTCGAATATATTTCTATATTTATTCAATATTATAAAAGAAGGGGAAAATAAAGAAATACTATTCCGAAAAGCCAATATCGTTTGAACACGCATTTTCTTTTAGTGGCAACAAATGTTGATTTTGCCTGCTGTGCTTGCGCTATTTAAACAGCAAAAGGCGCCAGAGGGATATAACCGCGTAACATTATTTGACCTAAAAAAAAAAAAAACCACAATTGAATAGCAGAAGCATCTTTATTGTTTTCAAACGTATGTATTTCACGATTCACTAAACTATTAAGTCGTCGGAAGGCGTTCACTCACGGGGCTTTTCGTCGACGTTTCTTGTCGGTTTTATTAAAATTATTACCAAGCGAATCACACGGAACGCATCCCATATTTATTGCCATCCGATTCAATCGTTTGAGTTTCGTCGTGCATTAGTACTGCACGACGGTCATTTATTCTCAATTTAAATCGTTACCCGTTTCGAGTAAATCACTTTTTGTAATCTGTTGAATAATACGAACATCCGCGCACACACTCGCAGGCGTTTTATATCTCGGATGAAAACGGAAACTCGGTACCCATTTACTAACGACAGTACTGCAGAATATAAAACGCGTATAATAATATTATGAAATACGTACACTTTTGTTGGCAGTGGCGGATCAGTCTCTTGTCTGTCCGTTTGAATTAAATTAAGAGTTCATTATATGTAATTACAGCCGATCAAACAAAGTCTTGTTCAAAGTTTTCCGCAAACTTTGCGTTGAAAACGTAGTATTACTTTCGCGTCGTTCGATCGTCATTTTACAAGCGAAATTAATTATATTATAGAACAATATGGTATCTTTTCATATTCCTTGCGTTCGTAGTAGATCCGCGAAAGTGATCGAGAACTGATCGCGGGGATCGTTATGAGCGCGTTGACGGAAGGAGGAACTCGATCAAGAATTTGAGCGTGAATACAAACCGGGAAAGACGTAGGCCACTAAGACGGAGTGAATACAGAGATCATTAACGGGGACGTATGGTGTGCATTGCGAAGAAACGGTGACGGACGGACCGTGGAGAATGAGAGCGACTGAAATGGAGGCGAATAAGAGAAGACCGTATTATATTTCGTATAAAACGGAAAAATCAATTCGTTACCGTCATTGTGTCGGGTACAAATCGTATATGAACAATATAGTCGGGGCTATTGAGTCCGGCCGTGAAAATATTAGACGTGCTCCGCGGTACGTTCGGCCCTGTAAGTAGGTATTCGGTTCAGGGATTTGGAGATTTTATGCGGATACGTTATTGTGCATTTAATTTGATATTTGTATTTCGTATAGAAATCAGAGGCGTGTACGGGAAAACGAGAACAAACGGGTCTCGGATTCGCGGGGAAGAAATGATATCGGGATCGTCGCGATTTCGGCGGTGGATTTTTCGGGAAAAATAACGTCTCCGTGCACAGGCGGTCGGCGGCCTACGGCGCGACGACCGGATTTCCCGGCACGGTGACGAGATATCGGAGCGCGGCGTTCGTTCGTGGCTATCACGCGGACACGCACACAACGGTCGGTCGAATGGGAGAACAAAAAAAAAAAAAAATAAATAACTTAAGTAAGTACGACAATAAAACCGAGCGACGTTTATGTAGGTCATCGGATCGCACAACGGCGGAGGTGGCGGCGGTGGTGGGATTCGTCTCCGGAGGCGATCATCGACCCGCGGTCACACATAATATACGTCATGTGGAACCTCGATAAGTCGAAAATAACTCGAGGAGTCGGGGGGGAAAAGCTCACGAACCGTACGTGTGGATAACTCGGACTTTTTCAATAAACACCGGTCTACATCGGCAGATACCACATTACCACAACAATTCACTCGCTCGTAACAATATGATTACGTTTTTTTTTTTTTTTTTCTTGTTTTTTACACGATATCCGTTACGATGCACACACTATGGTTTGCAGACTCCGTAGACGGCGCGTACGTACGCAACATTGTTAATGATATTAAAACGATAACGGTTACGAATTCGCTTTTTCCAAGACCATTCCGATCGCTCGGATGCCGGCTGTTAAGCGAGCGAGTTCCGAAGAAATCCCTTTCGCTTTTCGACTGTTCCAATGCAATAATAATAATAATAATTGTACGAACTCTCGAAAACCTATTGTACGCCGGAGGGGTGGAGGCGATTATCCTCACTCGCGGACGAAATCGCCCCTACCCTCCCCACCCTCGGTCTCCCATCGCAAAAATCATCGCTCCCACCCCCTCCCATCGTCCTGCACAAATATCGTCGTTCCTTTCCCCCGTATCGGATCCCGTCATCGCGGTATGTCGTCCGCGGTATGTTACTATCGCTACGGGAACGCATCCAATAACCGTATCAAATAATACATAGTATGCAATCGTTATTGTAAATTTAATAATTGTATTCGTACCCAAGTCGTCGAACTGATGACGGGCGTCATGACGGCGGCGACGTCGTGGCGATGGTCCGTCCGAGGTAGCCGCGCCCCGGGCGTGCGGTTCGGCCGTGTACCACCTATACAACAGGATAGCCGTGCCGCGGTGTGCCGCCGTATGCCGGAAGAGCTGCTGCGCGACTGTCCGCGGAAAACCCGTCGGTTACGCGCTGGTATTTCGGGCGGGCGGTACGCGGCCGTGCGTGGTGTGCAAGACGACTACGTCCGGCGGCGTGCGACTACCGTTGTACACACGTAGCACCAAAAGCGCGTCGATCGGCCGACTGCCGCTGCCGCTGCCGGGCGACCGGCGTTTGCGCGCCCCCTTGCCTTCACCGCTCGCGTTCCCGCGCGTCCTGTCCGCGGACGCCCGTCACAGTCCGCAGCCCGAGTCGCCGCCGCCGTCGCCGTTGTTTCGCACACGCATGTACGACGATCGATTCGCGCACGCACCGGGACGCCCCGGAGGGCTCCCGTAACGCGCGCGCATACACACACCGACACACACACACGCACACACACACACACACACACACACACACACGCCCGCGCACACACACGCATACACACACACAATGGGTTGTATCGTAAATAGCTACACGCCGTGTCGTAGTCGTCGTCGCCGCCACCGCATCCGTCCCAAACGCAGCGTTACGGCGGTACCACTACGGGGAATAGTGGCACGCCGGCGCAGTGGCGTATATTATTGTAGTATATAGTAGCGGCACCGCGTCAACCCCTCTCGCATGCCCGCGCCGCACCGGCGTGGCGCTCATAACGTCGTATACGTATTACGTGCAGCGGCGTACGCGACTGTAATGTGTACTCCGGAGTCGCCGCAGCCGCCTCTTCCGCACACTGAAACGTCAGTTTCACCGACCTCCCGCCGTTCGTACGCACGTACCGCCGCCGTCCTCGCCGTGCCCGGACGGGACGAGGGTGATTTTTCCGTTTCTCGGTCGTCGCCGTCGCCGCCGCCACCGCTGCCGCCGCCGCCACGGGTAGCTTAAGGCGGCGGTGTCGGCGGTGGTGTTTTTTTTCGCGACGCCCGCGTGCCCGCCGACGACGGTGGCGGCCGCACCCGCAGACGAGACGGTTTGATCAATTACCGCCGGCGCGTGTCGATAATATAATATGTGCCGAGGTGTGGCCGGCCGCCTCACCCCCAAACCTCCCCCCCCCACCCCTATCGCGTTGCCGATCTCCGAAACACCGAAACTCAACAGACATTAGAACAATAACGATATTTTATCGCATTGTTTATTGTGCGCCGCATACATTAGCTCTGAGAGTTTGAAATATCAAGTCCATTGCTCGTACCGCGCTTTCTGTAGTGCGGCCGAGTACGCGAGTGCGGCTCGACGGATGAACCGTATCAATTGTGCGCGCGTTGATAATATGATAATATTGAGCAGCGTTATTCGACAGAGACAGAGAAATCCGAGCATTTCTGTTCGGTCGGAACGATATTATTATGCGCATAAAACCGAACAATAGTTAAAAAGAAAAAACTAGAAAATGCCAAATGTCTGTAAACAACGCCTACAAATTGCCAGAATGTTTTGGAAATTTTGCCACGCCTAGAAATAATAATACAAGTACCTATTTTGCAAAAGCGTCAGGTCTCTACGAATACTTTTAACCGAATTACAATAAAAAGAAACGAGATCGGAATTAATTAATCCGGGATTGCCGTAAATTTTCTCGTTTTTCCTACGTTTTTCCCTCGGCGTTTCTCAGGTGTCGAGAAAACAAGGAAAATCTGAAATTTTCCCGCATTTCCCCTGTTTAAAATTTCTGTTTTTGGCAGTTGGGAGTATATGAATATATAACATAGGTGGGGCGAATCTGGATTTTAAGTCACTACAAAACGAATTTGTTTTTATTTTTATAAAATGGTGAAAACATAAAATATTATACTATTCAGGAGATCTTAAGATTTTTATTCGTGAAAAACAATACTATCGAGAATATGATCACCCCCTCCCCCTTCCGTCATACTAGTTTTAATATTTCGGTCCATGAAATTCATACATTTCCTATTTCAAATTCTTTCATGCCACATCTAATTTCTTGTTTGAGTTCCACCAAATTTTCGGGTTTTTCCGATAAACCTAAACCTGCACATATGTCTTAACTAACTCACAAAGGAAAATGTCGCAAGGTTTTAAGTCACAGGACAGCAATGCATGGTCTCATTACAACAAGGTTAATCTGTTTTGTGTACTTTTCCATGGCAATTACAATACAAACTAATACTAACAATGACAAAAACGCAAAATTAAATGTTTGGATTTAGTGTTATAAACACAAAACTTTAACGAAAACACATAAAAACAGTGCTGCTAAAAAAAAAAAAAAAAAAAAAAAAAAAACAAAAAAAAAAAAAAAGGAACGGACAAACTTTGCACGTTGAGTTGGCCACTGTTGCAGGTAAGAATTTAGGAAGGTAAGATATAGACGGGAATTTAATTTATAACTGTACGCAACGAAAAACGATTCGGAGCGAAGTTTTTTTATACGTGTACGTACATTTTTCCGTTTTTCCTACGTTTTTCCCAATTATTATGAAAATCGTTCGGAAAATAAAAAAATGACCTTAAAATACCACTCGGATAAAATTTATTTCCAGAAAAATAATACTACACTTGAAAATTAGAGCAATATTTCCGATAGAATGGTTGTTCACGAATAAACTAAATTATTAAAAATACAAAATTGAATAAAAACCATTGTAAAACCAATGCATTCATTGCTACGCTTCGAATCAACATAATAATGAAAACGGCAGACAAATGAAATTCGGCATTCTTTACGAATCACCTTTTATATTCAAATTAGATCTACATAAATAACCTGTATGTTTATCTATCGTATACGGTATGTACCCCGTAGAGAAGATAGTGTAAAATTCTACAAAGACAGAGTCGCGGGTAACAGTTGTAATTATTGATAATCGCCAAACAATCTGCAGTTTATGACCGTAACGTACTGTATACAAGTTTGTGTAACACAATATGTCTATTCTGGTGAAATGGAGTTTCTGCCGACGGGTTTCCGGAACAGCGTTAATCTACCGCGGATATCCGTGATAATTTGGGAGCAATTCGAAAATTAATGCTCTTTTTCCACCCCCTTCGCATTCCACAATATCTCACACCGACAAATGTTTTAGGGGCGTACTTATGACGTGAAACACGTGTGTGCGTGTGCGGGATTTCAGAGCGACCCCGTAAAATGTCAGGGCGGTATAATAAATGATACCTAGGTACAATATTATATTAAAAAAATAATTTTTGCCGGAAACGCGTTTGAATGCATTTGTTGACCGTGCGTCGTTATTTATTGCGGCAGGTACCTACCGTACATACATATGTAACAGTATGAATTTGTAGGGATTTTCATTTTTTTTTTTTTTTTTTTTAAATCGTCGCTTTAATATTGAACCCTGATACAGTCAATTAATAATAGTATCGTAATATTACGATTTATATTGAACAGTATACGTAGATGCGTTTCATGTGGATAATAGTTGAATTCGATTCGGTAACTGACGTCTGTAAACTTTAGTAACACAAATATATTATTGATGACAGTTTCGAATCTCAATTGCGTACTAATATTCTGTTTTTTAAATCGGTATACCTTATGTCTCTCCCTAAAAATTTGAAATTAATCAAAATCGTTTTGTATTTTTTGCTCATAAATTAATTTTTTTGGTAGCTGAAATAAAAAAATACGACTAATAGATCGTTTTTAGATTTTGAGCGAAACGCGTGGTACAATAATCACAATGAATATTATATATGTATATAGTATAGCTTGAATGATGTGAGTGAAGAACCATCCAGCGAAGGCAATTTGACTGCAGTAGTAGATTTTAGGCTTTTTTTTTTAAGTTCAAAATAAGATAAAAAATGTAAAAATCATGGCAATTCAAAACATGTTTATCCGAACTTCGCTTAAATCGAATTTTATTAGTAATGATTTATCCATGTATTATTTTACCTTCATAGTTTCCCACCGACAATAGTGGCACATCTATCAACAGTAACAGTTATTTTTCGTATGTCTTTTGGCTCGTAAATATTGTATGTTCCGCTAAAATTTCCCTCCCTTAAATTAAATATTGAAATTGTGTCTGATGTTTGTTTAAATTTCGTCCACGCTAAATTTTGTATTTAGTTTCCAACTGAAATTTCAAAAAGTTTTTTCCGTTTATTTCTTGTTATATTCTGTATCAAGGAGCGGCTTCTGGCATAGAATTGAAAGTGTGTGCGAAGATTCAGAGTGGTTTACAATATTGCATTAGCCTGTTCTTTTGAATTTCGATGAGATGTAAGCCTTATTTATTGCAATGTCCTGGAGACGTAAAGAAGTTGAATTCGATATCGAAGCTTTTAGTTTGAGTGTGGATTCGGCTTGTTCTATACCTCGATAGTGGAAAGTTTAGCGGAAACGTATTTGGAACGCGGCCGTCATGATCGTTTTATCCTTCTCTTTTGATCAGCGTGTCATTTTACTTTCGAACAGCTTCGATATTCGTTATCTACGTAGAAAGTACTCGCAAAACTCGTGTTACTCTATTTATTGAAGTGTCAAGGAACCCGTATCACGTCAATAGTCATTGTAGATCAGACATCATCCCCTCCCTCCTATCCTTTTCCCCCGGACGAATGAGCATAGAAAGTGTATTAAAAACGCTCGGAAGACGATAATGTTATTGCCATGTCCATCACGAAAATAATATTCTTATTGTCGATTCGAGATAACCTAGGTATTTTTTTCGCGAACAAGCGTACCTATATTATTATGCCGTTCTTATGTGTGGCCTGTATACGAAAATCAACACCGATAACGTCAGTTATAGTTTGGAAAACAATAATATGAAAAATGAACGATCCGATCCGTTCATTTATTTAAGAGCATTTTGTTTATTATCGCTACGGAAACGCGAGTTCCTCCGAGGAAAAGAAAAGTACCTAACGAAAGCGAACGCGTCAGTTTGTTTTATGTTATATATTACACGGCGAACGCGATAAAGTTTAATTTTCAGTGAACTTATTATCTAGTTTTATCTGTACGCTTTTAGATTTTAAACGGGCGTTCAAGCCTTTTAGTAATAAATTCTGTTATTTAAAAAAAAAAAAAAAGTAAAAACTATACGTATACCTACGAGAAACGCGTAATATTATTAATTATTTTTACGCGCGATGACAAAATCGGAAATCATACCGAAAACCAGACAAAACTACGTGTAAATTAGGTACGTTT